GTTGTAGTTGTTGTGGTTGTAGTTGTAGTTGTCGTACTTGTAGTTGTAGTTGTGGTACTTGTTGTTGTTGTGGTTGATGTAGTTGTAGTTGTCGTACTTGTTGTTGTTGTGGTTATAGTTGCTGTTGTTGTTGTTGTTGTTGTGCTTGTAGTTGTAGTTGTAATGATTGTCGTGATTGCAGTTGTAGTTGTTGCAGTTGTTGTAGTTGTTGTTGTTGTTGTTGTAATAGTTGTCGTGATTGTAGTTGTTGTTTCTGCGGCTGTTGTAGTTATTGACGACGTTGCCGGTCCTATGTGAATCAAGAACAATGAATGAGATTTTCTTTGTAATTCTTCGTTTCTCTATCTATTAACAATATATCTGGCTTTAAATCGATTCGTATGGGTTTCTTTATCTCGTATCTTTTATAATATTTATTTATAATTATGTTTCTATTACAGCAACTGAAACAAACCAGTTGACACATCATGAATTCAGTGCTAAACTATTTTCAAATCTTGTTTATTGACTCAAGTGATATCATGCTCTGAAAAGTTTCGAGAAACTTATATGTTTTCGAAATAATAAAAGTTTTGAAGTAGTTGTTATTGGTCGGCAATCAAAAATATAGCAAAGTTATTTATTGTAATAATTGATACGATAACAAATGGATTCTGTCATCTCAATAGACTTTTTCTAACAAAAAAAATGACTTAAATATAAAGAATGTGAATCTTATAAATACTCTGATATGTGCGATCTGAAATTTTTAAAAGAAACAGCAATCAAAAAAAAGATTTTTCTGTTTACATGAATAAGCCATGTCTCTCAGTAGAAATCGCTAAAATTTTTGACCACTAATAACGTATTCAAATGAAAATCGATGTTTTCGAACAACTAAATTTCTTGCTATCTTCTCATACACTTATTTCTATCTTAACTATCTAGACGAAGCATGACTTTTCTGAAAGAATCAACCAAAAGCCTCAAATTTCAAAAGTTTTAGATTTAAATTTAATACCGTAACATTGTGGAATCATAGAACTTAAAACGAAGTGTCACATTTAGATATCTTCTATTGCCCGTAAATCGATGCATACTCTTTCAATATTCACAATAAAAACATTAACTACCTGGTCTGAAACTACGGCTATTCTTATATAAAATTTCAGATTCCTACATTTTTTCTGCGATCCCATTTGAATTGAAAACTATTCAAAACAACTTCTAGGTTCAATGTAAAAGCGCCTACGCTACTAAAGGAGTAATAAGAGAATCAGCCTACTCACCGATAACAACACCACTGGAACTATCATCAGTGTTATTATTCCCGTTGGGATACGATTGAACATTGCAAAGCTCTAAAGATAAGCTGCTTCCATCGTCCGTTGTGAGATTGATATTGGTCACAGTATTGAATTTGACATGAATACTGGTATATAGATCGATCTGGCAGGTCAAATTTTGGCATGGCAAACTTGATGGATAATTTAATTCAATACCAAAAACGATGGCGTTACCTGAACGATCGGTTTTATCACATTGAAGGCTATATATAAATTCATAGGTAAATATGACTAGTACAAATGAATTAAAAAGAAAATTACTCGCTGCGGCGACTTCGACCTTTGGCACCGGTTGCTAGCGCGCTCATGATGGCCTTGACGATGATGCTACCTACCAGAGCACCAATTGATTCTTGCAGCTAAAACATAATACACATTACGAATGAACATAAAAGGTAAAAACATACGCTAACGGCTGTTGTTTCACGGTTAGTGACCGATTGTGTGGCGCGCTTCTTTCCTAATCCAGGTGGCAGCAGGTACGATGGATCGAACGACGTAAGCGAATTTCCTTCAAAAGATTAGATATGTATATAAGATAAAAACAATAAATAAACACTAACTAATGGCTAGTAACGCGTTGATGCTGGTGGTGTTCGTAATGTTCATGATGGTAAAATCCTTTGTTGGTACATAAAGCGGAATAAGAGAAAGAATAATCGTGCATGCAACAGCAAATAGTGCAAGTGCAAAGAGGCCAAGTATAGAGAACCTATATAATAAGTAAAAGATGGCAAAGTTCACCAGAGACACTCTAAACTTACGTTCGAGAACGTCTCAAATTCACATGAGCCATAACTTTCGACCAGTTGTAATGAATATAAATCTAAAATGAATTTCTGTATGAAAATCGAGTAGTGAAGAGAAGCAAACTCGAGATTTGGATTTTACAAGCTTCTGGTTATATGTGATACCCTAGCTCACAACTGTCATTGTCCTATATTGGATTATACAAATAGAAATCTTCAATTATGCCAAGTCGATTGAAAACATTAAAAAAACGATAGAAAACAGTGCCGAGTTAAGATTCACTAGATACCTAAACATACGATGCGAAAGTTGATTTTGTGGCCAAATGATTTGTTTTAAAATAAAGAGATTTGTCAGAAAGACAATCCGTATATATTATTGATAGAGAGGTTTCCCAAGTGTCGGTGTGTGCTTCCCTATTGTCATCATCTCATCTGCATCCAACCGCCCATTCACAGAGGGTACAGAATCTGACTTAATACCCTATCAGTAGTGGTACTAAATGGTATGTTCTGGGTTTATTGTACAGATTCTTGCTACTACTTTATAGGATAGGATGAGGATGGAGTAGGAAATCTATAAACTTTGCTTCGTTTCTAGTATAGTTAAAATATGTTAGATACTGTCATTAGATGAATCTGTTGATTTAGAAAAATCTCAATAACTATACATATAATTACAGTACTACTAAACAGAGCAACAAATCTCAGTATAAATGATATCGTTTGAACGGAATAAACTAAATACAAAAAGTATAGTGGTAATTACCGTGAAATAATATTCAAACACGATCAAATTCGAAGCAGAATAATCGAGTATACGAATTTTGAATTTAAATAAAAGCCAATAACTAAAGGAATATGTAATGAGTATACGCTTTTATATTCTCATTTTTATACGCTTCAGTGATACATAAACGATTATTTTCATTTTTTCTGCTTGTATTTTATCTCATTAAAAATAATAAGCAAAGCAAGCAATTAAGCAGATGTGAAAATAATTATTTTTGTTGTTATTCATGTCTGTAACGCTAATTGCTTATAATTATTTTAGATAGGAAAAATAAATGTGAGCAATCGATCATTTGTCTTATAGGCATAAAATATTATTCATCATTTATCTTATAGGCATAAAATATAATTGATCAATTATCTCACAGAAATAAAATATACGTAGGTAGTCATACTCGATAGCGTCTAATTGGACGATGTTTTTTTCTCATTTTATGTATAATTATTGTATGTTATGATTATTAGAATTCTCAAAAATATTTATTCGTTAACAGTCAAAATACGAATATTTTGGAAGTATTTTGCTATTCTAATAGAAAGGAAGAGTTGTTTCATATGACATTTTTAACACTTATGTTGTCTAGATTTAAAAATTATTCTATATAAGGCATAAATTGATTTGATCAAACTTTTGTTTTGGTTTAGTACTATGTTAGATGGACTCTTTGTTGAAGTTTAGGAAAGAGTGTATGAGTTATGTATTACTTATTTCGGAAGAATATGTACATAATTTGATAGTTAGTTCAAGATAACACTCGATAAATAGTTAAAGTCCGAATAAAACTGAATAGATGATTTTGAATTAAAATTAAACATTGATTATACAAGATTTATCAGACATTTATGTTGCTTAAGAAAATGTTTTCTCGATTAAAATTGCAAAATCTGTAGACATCAATCCAAATTAAAAAGGCAATTATTACCGAGGTTGACTGGTGGCCATGGGGAAATTCTTAGGCATGCAACCGGCGGAGGATTATAGTTGATTGAAAAGTTGTAATTTTAGCCATTTACATTTCTGATTTTATTTCATAATAATTAGATCGATCGTTTTGATTATGACTGATTATAAATAAATTATAGTTCATGTGGAAGTCCTGTTTAGTCGATTTAAATTTTGATTTCATTACGTGTAATTCTGAATATAGTCTAGATTGAAAGTATTCAAAAGTGAATTATAAATGAGTTATAACGAATTAGAAAATTTTCTCGCTTGGATTCGAACATTCTCAAGTATTCGTTCGTATTTCAATTGTAACATGGTGGATGTGAGAGGCCTTAATGAACTATGACTATCTTAGAAAAAATATGTGCTCTAACGTACTGTACTACCATAAATCAAATCGTTTTTTAAAAAATGAAATCGAACTGAACCAATTTCCAATCAATATTTTGAACATGAATCAAAATTCGAACTGAATTTGATCCAAGATGATACGGTTCGACTGTACCTATGCTCTGTGTTGTTCTATCCGCATTAAGACAATAGACTTGGCATCGAGCGAATCTTGGTCGATTGGTTTAGTTTTTAGAGCTAGACCACACATCCTTGGGTTCAGTCATAAAATCTAACTGGCAAAAAACGAGGAAAACAAAATAAGCTGGAGATGATGATTTTTATGCTCGATACTATTTTGTAGACTTTTTAATACATATACTTTTCACATTTTGACGAAACTAGTTGCTGGTTTAACGTTAACAATAACAGAAAATGTTTTTCATATTCATATAATGAAAGCATGAAGTGATAACTACTACCGATCGAGCATTTCTGGCTAAGATTGTACTGCTTACTTGTCTCATCGAATAAAATCTCTTTGGTAATCTCCACTATCCAAATTGATTTACCGAACAAAGACATTAACGATTTTGTATCCACCGACTCGTACATATAATTAAAAAACACTTTTGTCATGAATTAAAACCAAATCTATTTGTAGATTTAAAGACACTCATTACGAATATGGGAATGATATTCTCTCAAAATCTTATTATTGGCATTCTAATACAATTACTGATTAATGAATCTTACCGAAAAAAACATTTCTTTTGAGCCAAAAATTTCGAGTTCTTTATGAATCTAAACGTTTGCATCGAAAAACGGTAATTTTTGAAAAATAATTAATCTAGGGTAGTAATCAATCCTTATTCCAAATACACATGATTTTGCCCCAGTAGGTTTTTGTGATGTAACTCTTTTCACGCCGTCAGATATAAACTATAAAGATAGTTTTTTAGACTCTATCAATTAGTAATGTCGAAAATAACTAAAAAGGCATATAAAATGGCCAAAATCCAAATGTCTGATCAAAATCAACTCTTTTACTAGATTCACTCATATATATATGTATTTGAAGTTCAGCATGAGAGTAGTCTTTTGATTACGTTAAATTTAGACTACATATCACACTTTTTCAATTCTATTTACTGGTAGGCACCAAAAGATAGAAGAGCGGTGCAATGCAACAAGCAATTCAAAAAATATGCAAACCAAACCTATTTTAATTAATGTTTTTTTATCGTGATATAACTTGCAGCATCAATGTAATGCTCTTAGAAGATCAAATGTGAGGGCGTGTGAGTAGATACAAAGAGAAGACACTCACATCTACATCCATCTTTCTAGTTCATCAAGATACGCTGGTTTCCTCTTCCTACCACAGCGTTTGAGGATCGACCAAAGGTTTTTCACTCGATTAACGTCGAGACAATTCAACAACTAGTCAATCGTGTTGGGTACCTTCTGTATAGATATTTCTTCGTCGTTCATTTTGGTGCTGTTAAAACTAATTTGAGAACTAATAAAAAATGTAATAATTTTCTCGAGAATGATATATTTTTTAACGTTTATTCCTAGTAAGAAACTCACGTTCAATCGAGACATAAATAAAAAAAATTCTCCAGAGCTTTGAGTTGTACATATTTTAAGGCAATATGATATAAAGCATTTACACGAGTAACATTTCCGTGAAAAAGCAATTTGAATAATTTGTCCAAACAAATCATTTTGAAGAGAAAGTGCATTTATTAGAATTAAAACAATGATAATTACATTGTTTATCAAAAAGATATAGTCAGTGACATTATTGTTGTTAAATATTTATTTTCTCCATATTTATCAGAAGTTTCTCACTTCTAATAATACGGTTATTATCGTCAATAAGATATTGCTTGTTGTATTACAAGTTATTTCCTTAATTACTGATCATATTTATAAAAAAATTCTTGAATTGATATTTATGCTTAGAGTCATAATTAATTTTAATATATTATGAATATAATCGATAATATAGTTCTTCTTGTTTTTGTGAAATATAGTTTCAGTCTTGGTCACCACGAATGCCTTGTTGTTGATGATGATCGTAATTTCAACAATCGAACATTCTAGATGGCTATATGTGAAATTATGTTATTGGTAATAAAGCAATTGTTTTTTGAGAAAAACGACGATACTAATAGATGTAAATTTTCTGCAAGTGTAAAACTAACAGAAAAGTTTTATATAATATATCTAAGATTCTAGTGACATTAAATTATCTATCGAACAGTGTGTTATACGCTAAAGCAATGATTCTAGTATTCATAAATAACATGATACGCATACATGAATTGTTTCTGGTTTGACACTTTATAATACCATTTTGACTGGTTCTTATAAATGTTCGTTTATTTTTTTCATTTTAAATTTGTATCAATTTGAAAATATTGATCATGTTGTTGTGAGAAGTAAACTTTAAAGAGATCATTGATAAACGACTGAATAAAAACAATTTTGAGGATGAGTGTGAGCAAGAAGAAAAGCGAATCATAGATTCTCGTCGACTCTATGGATTCCGATGGAAGTTGGTAAATATCAGTAAGATGATGTTTCCACCCAATTCATGTCATTGGTCTCGCTCAAATATCTTCTTAGAACATGTACATTTAAAACAGTATTCTATTCAACAGTTCTTGTTATTTTCTTTAAAAGGCAAATTGATATAATTATTAAATATCAATATCTATTCAAATTTTTATTTCTAATTATTTATTACACAAATTATTCATCAATATAAAATAAAATAATTTTTATTGTTTATAACAACAAACATGTTTCGATACATCTTAAGTATGAAATGATCTTTTTGGACAACTATTACTTTTCACATCCAACAAATTAATGTCTAACGGCCCACCAGCCAATCAACTATGACTATATTGATCAATACTCAATATTTTGCATCAAATATTTTTTTATGATTTTTGAGTTTATGCTATTCATTCATCATATTGTATGAAGTATATTTAAAATATAAGAGACATATGTTCTCTCATATTACAATATATATCTGAAGAGACATGTGTTAATCACTAATTATTCATAATTACTTATATAGAACTGGTGTGATTGTGCATCTGTTAACTTTTGATGAATATTTTTAGCCTAAAGCCTTTATCCGTATGTGAACGAAAGTTACAATTGTTTATTGTATTTGATCCTTATAATAATAAGACGACATTTTTATAATGTTCATTACATACTTCGATATATACGTCAGGGTCATTTAATGTAAAAGGAAAAATGAAATAGAGAATGAGTGCTTTTGTATTAAGTAATAGGTGATAGTTAAGTGTGTGACATACAAGAAAAGAGAATACAATAATATATCAAAAGAACAAGTAAGAATTTGAAATAATAAATAGTTACACATATATTTTGTTAATTCTCAAGTGACCGATTATGAACACATCATAAACAGTAAACAATCAATTTCACACGGTGGTCATTCAAGTAACATCATAGAAATGTGTCACTAATGTTCATATAGACAGTTCATTATATATGTATGCATTCAAATGATCTTATATCAATGAATTGTAATAATAATATCAACTGAATTACAAGAAAACAAGCTGTTGTTCTTCATTCTATTTTTCTTTTGAGTTCATTAATCGCCTGCCATCATTTACTAATCTAACATCAATCATTTGTGCTTCGTTGATCTTCATCATATTTATTCTCCATAATATCACTGGTTATGATATATTTTTTTTCTACAATGTTATATATGTCTATTTCTTTTGATTGAGCACTTCATTTGAGAGCACGAGAGAGAGAAAGTAAGAGGGAGGGAAAGAAGAGGAGGAAATAACGTACACGACATCCATACAGGTGATATTTTTTTCCGAACAATTAACCAACTGTCCACTATCTTTCTTCTTATAATGGCTATTCACGAACGCATATATACACTTCATTCATGAATATAATTATGAACAGCTGCTGAATAATTTCTCTTTTTAGATCGATACATTGACAATGATTAGAATTGGTACAAAGTAAGTCATTTAATTCTGCTTGTTTTCTAATTTAAAATAAACCTTTTGTCATACTGAATTAGTTTGTTTTTATAAAATCATTTAGATTCATATATATTTTCTATTAGATAGACTATATTCTCTAACTATTGCCCCATCTAATCGAAAAGAAAAAGTCAGAAGAGATAATATTACATACTTTAAAGAAAAAAAAGTATACGCATATTGGTTAATACAATCTATTTGTGCGGAGATGATAACTCAACTATTTTATCCGTTACATTACATAGATTAATCGTCTTCTACATTCTTTTTTGATATCTAACTCTCCGTGTGTGTGTGTTTGTTTATTCAGTATCATATATACATATTTAAATTCAATAAACGAGTTTAAAAAAAAATGATGATTACGAACAATTTAATTAAGTAAGTAATAATACACGAAATATTTGTTTTCTATGTTATTGAATTTTGTAACTATTGATTTGTTCTCAGTATCATCCTATGTGATGATGCATTGCCACGCGTAGATCATTTCTTATTAAGCTCGAAACAAACAACATGTCTTATTTGTTCATCGAATTAACTTCTGTGTGTGTGTGTATGTGTGTGATGTAACATTCCTTTTTTTCATGTTTGTTACTTTATCCATACTGTCCTCGATGATCATGATCTATTTGTATTGATGGATTTTTTTAGTATGCCGTCTTGTTGGCCATCATCGTTACAATTTGTTAAAGATTTTGATCGTACAAATTATTCAATTAAATCAGAAGAATCAACATCAACTGATGAATTAGATGATGATCAAAATAATGATAGTGAAGGTGTTTGGAGTCCAGATATTGAACAAAGTTTTCATGTATATTATATTATAATTTCTATGTTTAATATATTAAATTTGTTTTTCTCTTCTTCTATTTTACAAAATCTAGGAAGCATTAACTATTTATCCTGCTTGTGGTCGTCGAAAAATAATTTTATCAGATGAAGGAAAAATGTTTGGTAGAAATGAACTTATTTCACGTTATATTAAAATGCGTACAGGTAAATTACGTACACGTAAACAAGTATCATCACATATTCAAGTACTTGCTAAACGAAAAACAAAAGAAATTCAAACATTATTTAAAGTAAATTAAAAACACAATATTGAATACTTCTTTAACAAATAAAATAATTTATTTAGGATTCAAATTTTAAAGAATCACATCGTTCATTTGTTATTAATCAACATTATCATCAATTACGTAATGTTAATCCAGCATCAACAATTATATCTGATAATACACCATCATATTATAATACACCTGTATCACTTTTTTCACCAACATCTACAACGCCATTTATTGAGTAAGAGTCGAATTTAAAAGATTGTGTGAACACTTAATTTTTTTCTTCTCATTAGTATTAAATCATTTACTCCAACATCAACAAATGATTTTATTTCAACAACAACTCATTGTATAAATTCAAATCGATTAAAACTTGTCGAATTCGCTGGATATATTCAATCGAAATCTGATATGGATTTAGTAAACATTTTAAAAATCTTTATTATGTATACATTTCGAAAATATATTTTCTTTTAGAAACATTATCTACTTCGTATCAGTCATGAAGCTGGTACTGATATGAAATCAGAAGTAAATTTATTTAAATAATTTATAATTCATTTAAAAATGTTTTTTTTAGAAAATTAAAATGAATCAAATTATTGATTTATTTCCTATGTTAAAAGAACTTTATCATAAAGGTTTGGAAGATGTTTTTTATGTTGTAAAAGTTTGGGTAAGAATTTATTTCATTTTCTTTTTTTCTTTTTAAATTCAATTGTATTTTCATTGTAGGTCAATATGGATTATCAAGATAATTCAAATAATACATATCATTATTATTCAATGTAAAAAAAAAGAATATTTCTCTTTCTTATATTTATTATTTGTTTTTTTTAGATTTGAAAGTTTAGAAAATAATCTAAATATTTGTATAACAACAAAAGCATGTTCATTTGGTAATACAATTGTAGAAAAAATCGAAGTAAAATAGAAAAATAATATATTCTAAAATACTTTCTTTTTTTTTGATAGAATGGTACAATGAAATATAATGAGATGAATGATAAATGTATTCATCGTTCAATGAATACAACAATGTGTACTTTTATGACTGATTTTATAACAAAACTTAAGACAGGAATGTATACACATGATAAGATGAATTCTGTGCTCGAACATTTAGGAGTACTTCAAGTAAATAAATTCAATTTGTTTTATTTTTCTCATTAAATTATTTTAGACAGTGGTAGCAAAAGATACCAATGAATTGCTATTATGTATTGCCTATATTTTTGAAATAAGTGAATCATCATCATTAAATGGTACACAATCGGCTGCTTACCGTTTATGTGATTGATACTGAACACGTTTTCTTTTTTTCGTTTTGATCATATAAATCTTCTTCTTTTTTTCTCCTTTCCTTCTTGATTTACTTTATGCTTCTACTTCTATCATTGTTCTGTCGTTTTTGTTTTGTTTTCTAATAAATTATTTTTCAAGATATTCATCGAGTGCTAATTATATCGATATCTATATGATATTTTAACAGAAAGAAGAAAAAAACAAAGTATATTTCTTCGATCAATTCGATTGAGAAGATATATGATCGATGATAGCTAAGGAAAAAATAGATGTGCTAATTGTTCTATGGGATAAAAGATCACTTGAGATAAATAGATTCGATAAATGTGTGAACGATAGAATGGGAAAGATTTTTTTTTGTCACAATGATGCATAACAACATTTGTAAGTGACAAAGATCGATGAGGTGTATTATTGATGCTGTTCAATATATTCATAATCACATGGTTATTAATTAAAATATTACTAATAAAAGAGGTCAAATAACAAAGATGAAACATATATTCAATGAGCAGAATTTTTCTGTATCAAACACACATAAAAACTGCTAAGTATAAACTTTAATATTCATACATGAATTCACAGTGTGAGTAGATTAATTTGTGCAGTGCTATAATAGATAATAAAGGCGGATACAAAAGTTAAACAAAAAACATATTCGTATACTTTGGTTATACCAAAATGGTTTCTAAAATAGTATGATCACGGGACTTTCAGAAGATCAGAAAAGACGAGAAAGATAAAAAGAAAGGACGCATGAAGGACAATCTAATTTTAAATTATCAACACAACTTCTAATTATTATCTTCAAAAGAGAAAGCATTAAATGATGGTAATAAAGAGTTATGTACATTGGTTAGATATAACATTATCAAGTAAGTTGCTTTTTTTTTGAAGAGCGAAAAAGTATCACACTAATCGTATTTTTGACAATACTAGGGAAAGAGATCATGTCGTCAAATTTAACGGATACAGTCGCTATTCTTCAATTACAACTGATTTCTCAAAGATTAAATCTTACAATAGGCTTTATTTTACTCATTAGTGGTATTGTAGGTAACCTTCTTAATGTATTTGTTTTTTTAAATTCTGGCAATTATAAAAATAATGCTTGTTCACTGTACGTAATAGTAAGATCTTTTTTCGATTTAATTGTTGTTGGTTTTGGTTTGGGTACTCGAATTCTTAGTTACAATTTTCAAATTGATCTTACAAACATAAGTCGTGTTTGGTGTAAATTACGTGTTGCTTTAATCTACGCAACCTGTCTTGTATCCTTAACATGTATTTGTCTTCAATCGATCGATGCATACTTATCGTCTTCACGACATATTACCTATCGTCGAATGAGTAATGTTCGTATAGCTCGATATTTAATTACTGGTAGTATATGTATATGGATTTTACATGAAGTACCTTATGTCTACTTTCAAGATTTGGTTGATGTTGCAGGTATACTCGTTTGTCTCTCAACAAATGCAAATTATGCATGGTATCATAATTATTTTGTAATCATTGGTCTTTGGACTATTATACCTATTACAATTATTATTGTATTTGGCTTTCTCTCATATATACATTTACGTGAACGACATGCACTTCTTGATCTTACAAGACAAATGATAAATATGACATTGTTTCAATCGGCAAGTGTCTTTATATTTCAAGTTCCATCTGAAATAGCCGTAGCCTATTTTTTGGCTACAGCAAATGTTAACGTAAACGCTTATTATCGTGCACGAAACCAACTAATTCAGCTCTTTTTGAGTAATTATGGTTATGGAACATATGTGGTAAATAATTTTCATTTACTAATTATATACCCACTATTCTTATAATCTATATCTCAGAAGTTCTAAACGTACTCATTAATATTACAATTTTTTTGTATCATTCTCAAAATAGGAACAGTCGACAGAATGAAAGCAATTAAAATCTTTGATATCTATTTTTTATTTTTGGCTATGCAATAATACAACGTTCCGTGCTCAGCTGTGTATCAAATCTGAAGCGTTAATTATCTAATAATAATGTCACATATATAGAAATTATTTTTCAGTAAGAGTTCTGATCAAAAATTTACAAGTAGTATCGACATAGGAAATCATCAACTATTTCATTCTTGTATTTTAAACTTTTTCTGAAATAAGAAATTGAGACAAATTCTATATACAGCGCTAATTCTAACATTAAATAACAGAATAATAACATAGAGCCATTTTTTTTCTTTAGAGTTCTTTCTATTGTTATTGTCTAGCATCAAACCAATTTCGTAATGATTTGATCAATTCACTGAAGCATTTGGTATTATTTTGGCGAATAAATCAAGTATTACCTATCAGATAAATTCATCATGTTTCTCAACAATAAACAAATCGTCTATTAGAATAGGCATAAATATAACACTTGTCATTTCTTCTTTTCTTTAATATTGTCTATCGATTTGTCCACTTTCAATTTACGTGGTCTTCTTCTTCGTTTTAGTTTGTTTTCTTGCTATCTGAAGAATGAGTGTAATTAGCTGAACGCTCAGAAGTTGCCATTTTAGGATTTGTGAAATTTTTCGATGAAAGCGATCAAATAATGTATTACAACATAGAAAGTTCACGCTCAATTTTCGACTCAAGGCATGCGTTAACTATACAGAAGATGTCTAACTTCCTCAAGATATCATTCATGAAGAATTCTTGTCATAAAATTGGTCATTCAAGAATAAAAGAACAAGAGTACAGTCTACGACAAAAAATTAAGCAAATGACATTTTTTCAATTTTTCTTTATACTAATGAATATCCGTTTCACTCAAACGGTGATCTAGGTAGTATCAAAGGCCTACTACATGATATGCTAGAAGCAGCTCTTCTCTTTGTCTTTATATATTTCTGGGCATTTCAGTACTTCGCATGTTCTAACCAAGAGACTTGCTCAAACAAAATATACCAATCGATAGAGCTTGAAATTCTGTATCGATTGCTAAAAAAGATTTTTCTTTAGAGTTTACTATTGCATCAAAAACGTCATTTAAATGAAAATGCTTGGAAAATAAAAAGTACACAAATTTTTCAAGATTTATTGTATCGTAATATATTTATTTGAGAATAGTTAGAGATTTTGTAACAGGAAAAGATCTGCTTTTATAGCAACTTTAATTCTGCGTAAGACCTAGTCTGAATAAATGCAACTGGGAAAACATGAACTATTAGAGGTTACTGTCTCAGTAGTGTATCAAAGACGGAAGCTTATAAACAGTTTTTCTTCTTCTTTTATATCGTAAAATTAAAAATAACGTCAAATAAAATGACTGCCTCTAGCTTTGTTATAGTGTCAATCAGTTAGATCGATTCTCCTGCTAATAACGATGTATTTATGTGTTTCAGTTGATGATAACCATTTTGAGCATTTGTTGTTAACTACATTATTTAAAATAAAACTTTAAAGAACATACTAACATATTATTAAAAAAATCAATTAAATTGATTGAGTCGTATGAGAGATATTTGAATTAACTTTCCGAAGGGACCTTTGGGTCACTCTATATATATAATTTATTTATATAATAAAATCAAAACAAAACTACATATGCATATGCTACAATATGTCACAGTCTAAATATTCATTTAGGATGGATTGTGGCAATGTGTCGTGATTGTCGAAATAAAAGTAAACCCTTCCATCGTAGTTTCTTGCGCATTTCGGAAAGAGTACTAAGACAGACAAATGGAAATAAAAGAGTAACGAAATAACACAGATAATTAGCGTAAACTTGTACATCTGCACCAAAGTGAGGAGGTAGACCGCAAATATGACCAAAAATAATAAGATTGAGTGGAACATTCGCTGCTAAATATAAGATACAAATAGAAAATAATTGAATTGTCATTTTACGTTGTCTACGCCATCGATTAGCTCGATTAAGACGTCGTTTTTGAATATAAACACGAACTAATACAATTATACTAAAAATAGTAATTATTGCAGTTGGTACAATACTATTTATAGCTGTATCCCATATGCCAAGTAAAGGTATACTTAAATAACATGGATATTCACCACAAACAGGTAAGTTATACTTATATGTCTTTAAACATGGTGGAAATATTATTACAGCTATATAAAATATCAAAATGTATAGGATCAATATGATAAGAGGCATCTTGTGAAAAAGAAAACGTTTTTTTGCAATCAAAAATAATCGATCATGAAATATTAATAAATAACGATGAATAGAACCCCATGCCATAATTATAACGCATCCATTATATATTCCTGTATCTACAAACCACCAGACAATACATAACGTGGGTGTAGATGGCCAAACAAAACTTAGTTGTAAGAAACTAAGATGCAATGGTATATCGATTAACTCTACCATCAATCCAAGGATGAGTAGACAGATAATAATATGGTTACTCAATTGAGATTGTAATTTTTTATTGACGAAAAGTTGAAAAAGTAAAACGCATGAACAATAAATGGATGGAATAACTAATATGAGAAATAGCCAAAAACGAACTTGACGAGGTACAGAAATTTCTTTTTCTGAAAATAGGCCAGTTAGACTACCGTTGGTTATCATTTTCTACAATAAATCATACATAATCATCTTAGTTGTTATTAAAATGAAACAAGTTTTTTTCATAAAAAGTATAAAAGAAAAGGAATAATGCATTCTAAAATAACATACGATTACACTCCAAATGTTAATCGCATTCGTTAGTTAATACAATGGAATTAAATTAAAAAAAAGTCCTTCAATACTAAAATAATTAAAATTTTTAATAAGCAGAAACGATAATGCAGAAGAACACTATTTTTAATGAACATGAATCACAACACATGATAATATACTATCTTCACTATGTTATAAAAATATTAAATCTCATCATTATATACTATGTGTTCAGATACCATTAAGTACTAAAAAAATGTATACAAGATAAATAATCCTTCAACAAAAGATATCATTAATAACAGTGAATATCAACATAATGAAACGTTTTTTTCTGGTAAAGAAAAATTAGAAATGGGTAAATAATCTCTTGAATTTAATTATTCTCTTTTCGCTACTTGACTCCAAATGTTCTGATGTTTCTATTTTTTCTACTCTTGACATCAGAAAGATGTAAAGTAAGAACAACAACAAAGAACAGTTGGTTGATGTTAAAATTTAGACCTTTCTTTTTCTTTTGAGTAAATAGATTGTCACTTTAAAAATATAGTTTTTCTATTATATTTTAAAGAATAAAAGTACTAAGAAATTATGCAGCACAGTTAATATCAATTATTTTCTGTTTGTAATATACACTCAGACACATCGGATTTTCTATTCTTAAAAATTACTTACAAGTAGCACTCAAAAAGTATACAGAAGTCGCGATGACATAATTAAGATTGTCAGAAACTTTAAATATATATACTTAAAAAATAAATAACATACTTCTTTCCAACACTGTCCGAAGTATGCAATGATATATGTCATTGTGTCCTGACCATCGGATACAATTTAGCGTATATTTATTTTTAAAATTGTATAGCATTACAGTTTGAGTCTTTACAATAGGAGTGTTACTTCATTTTATAAAGAATAAAGATAAAGAAAAACTAACATCCTTAATCATTAAGATTGAATAATTTGTGTTGACAAATAAAAATAAAAAATAAATTTACTAGAATAATTCACAGACACGATAATAAATAAAACCCTCGGCATTCTCTTCTATTGTGTGTTTGAAAAAACTACGAAATACTCATTGACCAGAAGGAATATAGATTTATGTAAATATATAAATAATTAAATTTTTTTTGTAAAAAAAGAAATGTTTTGAAATGATGAGAATACTATTGATTCGGTATTTCATCGAATATGATCGACTATTGTTATGAAATTTAAGTTTTATATTTCCCACATATTTTTCTTTAAAGTGGCAGAAATAAATAATATATTTTATTCATAAAATATAAAAAGCACTTAGTCAAATATTATACATTTTATTTTGTCTTTAGAAAAAAACAAGCAATACTTGTCTTATTTAATATCAACTCAAGATAATATTCAGTTACAACATAAAACAAATAGGCATACAGAATAATAAATAAATAAAGTATTATCGATAGAACTATCTTTTATGTGCCATGAATTAGTCTAGTTGATCAAGATTTATATATCTGATTTTAACAAGTTAAGAGATGATATATAGTTTAACTGCAATACTACAACGCAGTTTTTAGTCATGCAACATTCTAATGAATTGATTGTATTGAAAATTATTTAAGGTAATTATGTGATTGTTCTCTTTAAGTGACAAGAACGTAGTAAACTAGAATACGTCTGTTAACATGAATAGATAAATGGTATTTAATTTTTAAGTGCTTATGAAACTAATTCTATCATCGTTTTTTTTCGATAATACAATTATTTTGAACGATTTGATTTCGATTGTCAATTTGATTAAATAATGTTCATAGTACATCAAGCATAATTTGATAGACAACCAGTTGATTTTTTTATGTAGACTTTTGTAATTTAGAATTAATATCAAACGATTGTTGCGTATTCAAACAGATTTATGTCCATTTCAGATCTCCGTAGAATTGTTCGAGATTTTGTAAATGGCTAATACGTATTATGAAATCTTTTAACTTTATTTTGCTTAGTTAGAACTTTCATTAGTACTTTTACATAAACGAAAATTAAAGAATAATATGCTTTCTATTGCCAACAACATTATTTATCTGGATAAAACATCATCATAGAACCGGACAAAATAACTTTACATATATAATATTGAAAAGCACATGAATTTAGAGACTACCTAGATCACCGTTTGAATCAAACGGATATTCGTTAATATTAGGAAAAAATTGAAAAAATAAATATGAAAAAAATGCGAAACAATCGCATTCACGTAAACTTTTGTCGTAGACTATACTTTTTCATTGTTATATTTGAACACAAGTAGATATTATCTAGGAATATCAAAACTATTACATATGATAAAAAATTTTAATCTGATATTTTTCTCTTAACAACATTCGTTGATACAAATTCTAGAAAGTTTAGAAATATTAAATTCTAATAACTGTGTTCGTTTGACAAAGCATAATCTTAAATGGTAAATTAAAGACAATTTATATACATAGTAACGTAGAAACTAATTGAACAATAAAAAAATAAAGTATAATTTTGTTTGTACTTGTAGAGAACAACAGAAAATTTAAAATGAGACTAGGTATTCTTTTTGAAAGTAAATAAACGTCCAAATATTCCAGTTGCTTGACGATTTAAATATTGTGGAAGGATTTTATCTTTATTGGACTCATCAAATGGTTCTAATTGGTCATCATCTTGAATTTCCATCCAACCGTAAATTTTATCTGGATCATCAATATAATATAAACCATTTTCAAATCTTAATGGTACTCGACGAGCATAACCATCTGTCCAATAATTGTATAAATTATTTTGTTCAGCTATATGAACATAACCAGATATAACATCAGTAATAATAGCCACATGTCCGAAAGGCATTCTTCGACTACGATGATAAATAAGTATTGAATCTTTCTTAGGTGGTTCCGAAGAACCATTAGGTATTGTACGTAAAGGAAAATGTTTACCATCAATAACTCGTTCAATATGTGGTATATTACTCCAAATATCACAAGCAGATGAAACATCTCCAAATATACAACTTTTACGTATTAATAACCATCGACGAGCGTATTCTACACATTGCCATTGAAAACCAGTATAAATTCCATGAAAATAATTACGTCCTATTCGAAATATACTACCATTTCTATTGGAATATGCTGGAACATTTGTTGAAGCAATGCCTTCAACTTCATTAAATGGAACATGAGTTTTTAATGGACTTGCCATTATCAAATCTATTTAAATAAAAACAAATAGGAAAATTAATCGTAATTAAATAATAAATGTATGCTTATTACACATTCGATATTGTCTCACAAAATATTGCAACTTATAATGAGATGCAGTTTAAAAGATTCTCACTATTATAATAAATGTTTTCAAAAATGTCTATATCTATTTCAATGAACGATCTTTTTTTGATATTCTCTACTGAACTTACGTGTTGTGAATTACTGAATTCGTTCTATTTATTTATTGATTTAAATTCTTGTTCTATACACTTCTTTAACAACTGTAATGCAAACTGAAGAGTAGAAAAGTTGTCTGGCGATGACATTGCAAATTTTATCAGTTATGATTCATTTTTTCTGTTCTGTGTCATTACAAAGCAAAAGATTATATTTTTTTCTATATATATTGTTAATAAAATAAATATGATTGAAGTAAATTAGTAATATATGGTAAATCTTCATTGATACTCTTAAAAATTTAGATTCCATCAATTCACTGATAGTTTCATTGTCAGTGACTATAAAAATAACTATCATGATTGATTACCTGCACATGGAACGTGTTTCGAGTAAGTAAATGTATGAAATAGTAAAAGTAAGTAGATCGTTTCGAATATATATATATTTCATATAGCAAAATGAATAACTTAAATCAATAAAGCTCTATAAGGAGGAAGAGATATGTCTGATCAGTAAGACTTGCGATGTTTTGCTAGTTTCATTAAATTATTTATATTGAATAGGTATCTCTAATTGTTAACTCTTGATCAAAGAAATGCTCATACTTAGAAACTAATACTTTTTCGTTATGATACTGCTGTATTCTTCTAAAATATCCAAAATTAAAATAAAATGAATAAAAAAAGACTTTTAATCAATCAAGGAAGCAAGGAACATTTGTGATGTAGTTGATTCGTCATCTTCTTAGTTCTTTTCTATCCACTGACTGATTCTCAGAAGAGGTCGTAGTTTAACAGCAAAGTTCATTTTCAAATTCTCTCATATATGGAATATGTGAATGTAGACAGAACTCTTTTTCCAGAATTATCTGCAAGACTTGAGTTTCACGTTGTTCATAAGGCCCATTTATAGCCGTCAGGAGAATCTCTAAAGTTGTGACTCTAAAAGAGCTATAGAGTTCGGGTTAGTCTTAATTTAGACATTCGGTTTCTTTTATTTTCTATAAAGATTCTGATATAAAACCTTTTATTTTTTAATTCGGAATTGAAATTTGAAAATTCTGATCGAACAAAAACTTACCTTTACTTAGATCTTTCAACTAAACTAAAAATATCCCTTATATTTTGAGCAATGAGAAACTAATCTCATTTTTCTGAAGAAGGGGGCTCCAGCACATCTGTATATGATGGAAACTTTGGTTCTGAAATTTTATGAAAAATGAGCTTTTTAAGAAAGAAAATTTGTTTTAAAGTCTAATGGTGAATTCTTGTAATAGCTAAGAATCTATCGCTACCACAATAGATATCTCCCATATATGTATACAATAATTAATAATCTTTTGGCGTAACAAAAGATGATGAATGTGTTACAAGATATAAATCATGTTTGTTAAGGGCCATAAAAAAAATATATACTCATTATATAGATCGATCAAATAAAAGAGAGTATCGATCACAATGAAGTTGCTGAACATTAATTAAAATTCAGCAATAAATTTAATTAGAAAGAAAGATGAAGTTTATTGAAAATATAAATATGTTGTGTGAATTAAGAATAAAAATATGTTTGTTAGTTAAAAGTAGAAATTATAATAGCACCTGGTTATTGAACCAAGATTTGCTGTTGTTGATTGTGTTCATCGATTTGTCGTAAGCCACTAACTAAACCTGTTTTTTTGTTGCGTATTAATATATCTTCAGTAATTTCGATTACACCTGAATTATTTTGTTCACAATCAAGTTGACGTAAATCTTCGATTACTTGTTGAGTTCCATAATAGGAATGTCGTACAACATCGTCTTTAAAACCATGACCTAAACTAACACATTCAATATCATTCACCAATATTGTGTGACCTTGATCGAGAGCGAAGTTATAAACTTCTTCACAACATATGTCCACAGGAGCGGAAACAAGGGAACATGGCATTATCCATTGTTGATTATGACGAATTGGATGCCAAGCTGTTATCATTAAACCATTATCAAGCTATAAAGAAAAAAAATGAAATTTAGTCTTTTGTACATAAAAGTATGTATATAAAAAAATGATATACTTACAACAACCATTTGTGCCTTTTGATTTTTACATTTTGTTTTAACAACATAATTAACTTTTCCTCCATGTGGTGCCATTTGATCACCTGGTTGAACATTTTTGATTAATTTACTAGTTCCATTCATTAAACGAACTGTACATCCACCAAAGAAACATCCACCAGCAGCATTATTAAAAACTGACATGTCTATTTGAGCACCAGTTTGTTGCGAAGCTTTTGGAGCAGGTAAAGCACAAAATATAGTATCCATTTCATCACGAATTTCTGAAAAAAGAGTGCCTTGTCCATAATGTTGAATACCTGGATCTTTGAAATTGTTACAATATTGAAGAAGATGTGCGCCTAAAATGAAAAATATTTTTATTTGTAAATAAATCTTTATAAATAATTCAAATGTATTTACGAGTTAAACTGGGTAAAAAGTGTACACCCCATTTTTTAAACCAATCTTCTCTCGTGATAGCCTCTTTAACTTGTCCAGTTAAGTCTGCGAATAAATCGTTGACATATTCATCATTATTCTTTGCATAGTTTTGCATTTCTTCTTCTAACATTTTCATTCGATCCATTGCTACGCCTAACGCAGTATTTGTAGTTGTCGGAGTATTTTGTTTTTGACGCATTGCTTCAAATACTGTTCGTACACAATCAACAAGTTGAAGACGAAATTTCTGTTGTTTCATTTGTTGTATAACTGCTGATTGAGGATTAGTATTCACATTAAATTTAGCTCTTTTCTTTTTTTCTAGTAATGTATCATATACTATTGAAAATTCACATCTCATTGCATCATCGGAAGAAAGCGGAATAAGTATATCCTTGCTTTGACCGTATGTAATTGAACCTAAATCAAATATTGTACCATGATCAGTAAAATGTGATGAATACCATCGTGTATATTCAGAAGGTTCAATTCGTTGACCATTGATACATAGCTAGAATAATATAATTATGATATATATAATTTTTTTATGGAAACAAAAAGTGTATTAATATGAAACGATAAATTCTTAGCTACTTAATAAATTTAGATGTTTTTAGTGTATAATATTATTACCTGTATATTTGATGCTACAGTAGCCAGTAATGTAGTAACAGCATTAACAAAAATTGTTCCTACAAATGATCCATCAGGAATAAATGCATATGAACCTGCATTTCCTAATATAGAAATATCTTCAAGAAGTTTACTGTCCAATTCATATCCAAACCCAAATGTATTAATGGTACAGTTAAAACTAGTCTTTTGTTTTAATTTTGCTAATGTTGGTAAATGACCACGTGGTGGTTCCATATTAGGACAACCATCGGTTAAAAGATAGAGTGCTGAATTAGAACCAGTATTTCGTTGACCTTTCAAGAGAACGTCAAGACCAGTTCGAAGACCATCCCATAAATTTGTTTGTCCATTGTCCTAAATAACAATTAAATATTAATGATCTATATACAAATAATTATAAAACAATTTTGCCTGATTTTAAAGGATTATGAAAAAACTCTTTATCAGTAATCATATTCTTTCTATTAGATTGTATACCTCTAATCTTTCTAATGCAGCCAAGGCACTTGATCTTCCATCTTCATTCATTTTTGTCAAATTAAACAAAACTTTAGCACTATTTGCAAATGATACAATTGATAAACGATCTTGTGGAAGAAGTGAATTTATAATTGTTTTCAAAGCATGCTTAACTAGATCTAACTGTGATAGGCCATATTTTTCATTCTTATCATTTTGAATCTCAGCTTGTACAGCCATAGAACCTGATGTATCAACGACACAACAAATGTCACATGGTGAACGTGCTGCATCTGCTGGTGGTTGAATAGAAATATGAACAAAACCATCTGCATAATTTCCAAGAACTTTAAGTTCAGCAGATGTCACGTTCGTCTGAGAGTCAGTCTTTGATTGCTTGCTTTCTCGTAATGAATCACGATACTCATCAATAGCTAATTTAAGAGCACGATTTGGGCGAAGGTCACCTGCTGAAAGATTAGCGCGAGTGATTGGGGATGTATTGTTTTGTCGAAGCCAATCTACAATAGCTTGTCGTTCGTAACTGTTACCATCTGGATCAATAACTGGATCTACCATAAGTTCATGAGTAATTGGACAAAGAAATGTTTCTGATGGTGATGTCATTTTACAAGTTGATTGTTCCTTAATAAACTATCGTGTTTGTCAAGCTCGATAAACGTCTTAACTGCTACCAGTTACAAATAACTTGCTGTGTATAAAAAGGATGTTATGTGTTGTTGATTGTGTAATACTGAAGAATGTGGGTAAAAAACGTGAATCATACAGAACAGAAAAATTGCGTCACTACAAAAATATATTATATTCAGAGGCCTTTTATGGTAAAATACATACTCGAAGGCGTGTCACAAGGGAAGAAAAGTAACTACGTCATATTTCTGCCCGAATTTTGTAAGATGTCGACGAAAAAAGTTGAATCCAACAAAAAAATTCTTGCTTTGTTTCTGACGTGTATTATCAACATAGAAATGCCTATGAATATTTCTTGTGTAACAAAAACAAATGTTATTATGCATTATTCTATAAATAATACATTAAAAATCGTCGAAATTTAAATAACTAGTGCAAATTGTTGAATCACTTCATAGTCATTAAACTAAGTAGATTTTTCTGAGAAACAATGAATAATCAACTAACAGATTCTATTTTAGTACAATTTATTATTCCTGTCATTTCTAAAATAGTTTACCTTTTTTTTACGCAATTTCCCACTTCCTTGGAAATTTTTTTCTTCCCTATCATCGACTTATTTCTTGGAAACATTCTGAAAGCTTCTGACAAATATTCTTAGCATATGAGTCGTTAATTAACACTACAAAAATTATAGCGAAATACAAATAAGTATCTCATTAGTAAAAGTACATTTTATTAGATGAGATGCGAAATTATAAAATATATTTCTTTGATTAAATTAATTCAACATAGTCAATAAGTTTATATTCCGTGAAATAATATAGTTATTTTCTTCTACTATATTTTGTAAGAATACAATTGATGGACATTTAATTCATTGTAGTTGACAAACAGTTAACATTTGTGCATGAGTATCGTATCAAAAAAAGCCTTTCGTTAGCAGAGGAAAAGAATAGTACATTTATTATTCATACTTAATGATTGACGTCAATATTTCATAAATAAAAAAACTTTTTTCTAATGTCTATATTCATAGACGAATAAATTTTTAATGGATCTATAAAAAGCTTCTTACCTATTCTTTTCATATTAAATGGAATAGAAATAATTTCAAACACAGTTTAGATTTAGATATTTTAAAAGCTTTTTTATCGACTTCATACTATCTATTATATCACTTGATATTTTATAATAGGTTGTTTATGTTCTAAAGTTGAATCAATGGTTATTAAATCAAAACTATCAATAGTTCAGCTAGGATATATTATTTCTTGGCAAAAAATATTCACTGGTTTTAATGAATGTATTATTTATGTGACAAATATTCGAATTGAGAAGACATCAACTCATTTTTCTATTAAAATAAAAAATATTTAGAGCAATATTTATCGACAAATACTCTTTGCGAGTAATTGCACATTGATAATGAATTATGTGAATTCGATCTAATAAATATGACAGCACTTCTATTATTCTAAGTCAAGAGGGTAATATTTCTGTTGAATTTAAACGGCAAGAAGTGTCATTTCTTTGTGTAAAATTAATGAGAGAAATTTCCTTTCACCTCAAATTTGACAGTAATGTAAAAAATGAACTAGTTAATTGTTTTCAAATATATTATGATGATTTTGAAGCAAATTATTATCTGATAGATATTCTCTTCGAAATATATAACAATACAAAGTATGAGAAGTTCACTTAGTTTACTCGAAGAAATCTTTTGTATTGAAACAAATGAAAATAATAGAATTCTTTTTAAGTGTGAATACAGTATTTTTGTATCGAGTGAGTCGAACAAATTATTCAACAATCCGTAAATATGTAATCTGTTAGATTAAATTTAATTATTAATGAAGACTCTTAAGTCCTTTGCATCGTATCACACATACATAAAGGTAATGATAAAGAAGCTGAACAATTCTTTCGAAAAATGTCTCAAGATATTTCTATTTCTAATCGGTCATATCGTCCTACACGTGTACTTAAAGGTCTTGAAACTAATTATATGAATAGAAATAAATATAGTAAAGCCTTGGAACACTATCAACAAGTTTTAGATGCATTCATCGTCTGAACATAAAAAAATCTTGTTTCTCTTTATGATGAAATTGATAATAGTTAACAAATAATTAATAATTTAAATTCATATATAAATAATGCTAATAAATTACTTAATACGATATCATGATTTCACGACGTCTTATAATTTTTCTTATTGTAAATCTAAATCATTTATGGAAAATAATGACTTGAATGAATATGATCAAATTTCTATTGAAATCTTGTCGCTGTTATAAAGTAGAGAACGTTTCCTATTATTATATTTTCAATTTTTCTTTTTGTTAAAACTAAAAGCCTAAAGCCTTGATATTTACATGACGAGATGTGCTGTTTATTTGACATATGTCATAAAGATAAGCATTCTTAACTACTTATAGTTCAATAAGAAAATGAGCAAATAAAGGTCAAACAAATTGTATGTCATAAGTCAAAAATGTCAGTAAATTATATTAGCTTTTACTATTGGCAAAAATTCAAAAACAAAATTATTGTTGGTATTTTTCAAGAAATAATAAAATTAGTCGTATAAATAGATAAAACATTTCAATTGCTTGAAGAAACTGTATAAGACATGATTTTATTTGTAAAGTGTATACATTCCTAAAGTTCGTTGTAGTATATTTTCTTCGAGCAAATTCTAGTGCCGCCATCTTTTGTTCTTTTTCTATACAGTTGCTATTAGTTATCATCCGATTACTACTTCCGGTTATTCAGCAGCAAAAAAAAGATTGACATATAGTTGTTTTTTTCTTCTCCGATGTTAACAATTCAATGAAATCACGTTTAGAAGATTTTCCTACTGAATTAATTTTTTCAATTTTTGATTATTTTTGGGCACATGAATTATTTTATTCATTTGCAAATATAAATTCACGTGTTGATGATATTATTTTCAATAGTCAACTACATATATCATCAGATAATCAAAATATTCTATATATACCACATCATGTTCAATCATTAATTCTTTCAACATCACCAATGTCACTTGAACATTTTACTAATCTACGTTCATTGACCTTGAATCGATGTCATTTAGATAATATTATTGAATTTCCGCCATGTCTATTACGTTTATGTATTAAAAATATTGATTTACCTGTAACAAATATAAAACTTATTTTAGAAAATTCAACATTAGTCAATGTTCAATTAGATTTATATCATAAATTAACTGTTATTCCATCATTATTAAATATTAATAAACATTTAAGTAATGTACAATACTTAACAATTAATTATATATCATTAAATGATATTATTGAATTAATTCAATATACTACAAAATTAAAATATCTTCATATATCTTTATTTGGTATTAATCAACAAACGATAACAAATTTTTTTACACTACCGACACTAACTCGTATGACTTGTCTTTCAATGGGTATATCTTTTGATAAATTATGTTCACAATTTTTATCAATTTATTTTCCTAATATTGAAAATCTTACAATATTTACTTCATATGTTGATCCAAATTTATTTATTAATTCTCTCGAACAATTATTAATAAATAATTTACATTTTGTTAAAAATTTAAATATAAGTGCACAATTTAATATTCATCGACTATCAACAGATAATAATAATATTGAAACAGTTGCCACACGTTTTCGAACTGCTTTTTGGATAAAAAGAAATTGTCGCGTAACATTTAAATGTTGTAATAATGATTCACATACAATTCGTCTTTATCTTCAAACAAATAAAAAATTACGTACACGACCATCACGATTTTAAATTCTTTTGTTTTTTTTTCTCTTTTTATATAAATTACCATAATCTAATAAAATATTTCACGTACAATTTAATTATGTCGAACGGTACATTTCTTTTTTGGCATTTATTTCAGACGAAATTAAACTTCATTCAGTCTTGTTAATCTCTAGAGAAAATAGTTTACATATTAATTTACAAAGATAATCGCAGGAAGATTGAACATGAACGTTATCATTAACCTCTTGTCATATGCATAATATAGTATCTATCGGGAATTTTCTCTTGTTAATTAAGCATTGAGTATTTTGCACTACTATGATTATTATTTCCTACATATTATTATACTTGTCGAACTTTGGGTAAAATATATATATTAGACGATGATTTCAATGCGTAGAAGACATTGTTAAGAGAATAGTAACTCTTAGGACATCTTATATACGTCAATAGTTGACAATTGAAGTGAGAAAAAAATAAGTTTGAAATTAATTTCTTTTCTTTTATATATATTAAAATTTTAACGCCTAGAACGACTCGTTAGACATCTCTTTGTTTCCTTTTGGCTAACAAAGAAAATGACAGATAATATCATTTTTACTTTATAATTCATGAAATTTAAAATATTCTTACGAATGATCTGTAAGAAGAAAAAAAAGCAATATTATTTCATCAATAGATTTTAGGCATGCACTCGTTTATACTCAAAATAACTTTTTCACATGAGTAGAAGAATGAGAATGATTACGCATGCATACGCACTACTGCATTCGATACCTTTCTTCTAATAATAAGTAATAATCATACTTAGTTAACTAAAACCTTGAATTTAAACAACAAAAGGGGGAGAAAAATTATAGGTAAAACTTTAAGAGATATTAATGAAAAAAGCTCGTTAAAATATTAATAATAAACATAATTTATATAGTATAATCAGAATAGTCACTAGTGCGCTCATTAATAATGATGATAATAATAGTTGTCTTTCTTCTTTCTTTTTTTTTCTATATTAAAGATTGTCTCTCGTAGTTCCGCTTTGCTACTAAGAAAAATAGGACAAAAAGAAGCGGAAGAGAAAGAGAGAAAAGAAAGCAAGAAAAAAAAATTCTCTCTCATTCTGTTATTTTAATTTTCTAAGTATTTTTTCTCCTATTTTTCAAGTTTATTCTTCTCAGTTCAATATTTGGAACAGATTATATACGTGACAAAAAATAGAAGAAGAAATAAATGAAACATGTTCAATAGCAATCATTCAATAACCAATAATATAACAATTACTGAAGTATCTATACTACAAAATAATAATATAATCTATTATTTTGTTCCATTTTATACAATACTTTTTCTTATTGGTACATTTGGTAATGGTCTTGTAATTATTAGTATAATTCGTTCATCACGTCTTCGTACAGTGACAAATACATATTTACTTAATATAGCTATTGCTGATTTTTTACTTCTTTTAAGTGTACCATTTCTTATTATTACAATACTTGCAAATGGATGGATATTTGGAAATGTTTTATGTAAAATGTATTATAATTTTATTCATATAAATCAATATGTTAGTTCATTATTACTGGCAGCATTATCATTTGATCGATATCTTGCTGTATGTCATCCAATTCGAGCTATTGAATTTCGAACACGAACGAAATGTGTTTTAATTATTGCTGGTATGTTGATTTTAAAATAAAACGAATACACTATTTTGATAATTTTCATTTTTTTTTGTGTTAAGGTTGTTGGCTTATATCTATTCTTTTCTTATGTCCAACATGGGTATTTGCAACTGCCACATCTGAACGCTATGTACTTTGGTACGGTTATCGTGTAGAAAAGTAAGACACACATTTTACGATGTTGATAGATAACATGCAATGACCTACTTCGAATAGAATAGAAATACGCTCGGATGAATTAAGAAAACTCCTATTTTCAAAGATACTATTACATATATATATATATATAGACGATTAACGGTGTAATTTTATATAGAATTTATTTCAAGCAAGAAGATTTTCAGTCTTATCTTATCATGATATATAAATTAACATTACGATCATTCAAAGCGCAAAAGAAAAAACAAAGTTGATAATTTAGATTTTAATAGAAATTATTCAGATAGATGATATATTATTTATTTAGAGACATGAATGAAAAAAAAGATTGCTTTTTCTTATCTGATAGTTTTCATTTGATCATATTAAGAGATACCTCTCATATGTGCATCTATTAAAGAATAATAAAGTAATCTTTTCAAACCATACCAATTGTCGGCATTCAAAAGTGCTTTTAAGAACACTTGTAACTTGTTTTTCATATAACAAAAGAAAACATAATAAGGGTCACGATTTAATGTCGAACATCACGTATACTTTTTGACTGCATACTTTTTTTATCAATAGGAATGAATTTATTCATCTGTATTCCAAGAATAATGAGTGTAATAGACCATAGGATTCAAAAAAAAAAGAATTTATTCATCTCAATCTTAGTTTTCAGACATATTTTAATAAAATATTATCATTAGACATAACTGATTAATAATTCTTTTAATATGAATTGTTACTTCATATTTATGACAATTGTTATTTTCAAATGTCATCTTTACTTTAGAATATCTGGTAATCTTAATTATCTTGACGATGATGATGTGCTAGTATTTGACTTCAATTAGAATATGAGAGCTTTTTATTTTTTCCTGCGGAATAAAGAAAGTTTGATAAGGTTGCATGTACCCAAAGAGTATTTTTTATCATCAAAATTTTTTCATTTTTCTAATAAGAGTGAAGACTATGAAATTGTGTATATTCATTTATTGATATAAGCTTCATTAACTTAATGAAATCCTCACGTCATTGCCGATCTTCAAGGGATAATATCACATAAACCATAGTTATTTTTTGATAAATAAAAATTTAATGTTGAACTCAAAATATCTAATCTTTGAAGATTTTATTGAATCTTCATATTATTCATTGGTTGTTCGCAGATATGTCGCTTAAATTTAGTCACAATATCTGTCTGCATTAAACTTGTCACGTTGACTATAAATTCTGATCAAACATAGTTGAGCTATAAATAGAGACATATGTCTATCTTAGACAGACAAACGATCAATCATTTAATAAACTATTTAATTAAATAAGACATTCACAAGAAACTGAAAAACAACTCAAGATTAATGAGTTTAGATCTGAATTTTTGACGGATCTTATTACAAAGTATTATATCATCCTATAATATCGTATCTTTCTACTCTGATTATTCATAGATAGAAGAATGTTTTTCATTATTCAAATTAACATAAGTCATATAACTTGAGTGCGTATATCTTAGTATCAATATGCATGATATTTAACTTCCAATTTATATAAATCTCAATCTAGTTAGAGTTAATATTAAAAATAATTTGATCCATTTTAAACATTTTCCTGGCTTTTACATACAAGTTTTCATTCACATCCTTACTCGTCGTTAACTACTTTTTCCGGTTTATTCAAATTAAATATCTTATCATCTTTAAGAACTATGATTAAGCACGTTTAATATGTTACTTATTAGAATGAAGCTAATAATCCTAAGGACATCTTTTTTTAACGGGTAGTATAATATGTGAAACAAAAATTTGTATACTATTGAGTAAAAACTTCGAATTGATTATTTTGAGGAAATAAAAATAGAACTATAATTGACAATCGTATCCAAATGATTAATATTTTTTTGTAAAGAAAATAGATTTCAATCTTGATTGTATCAGTTAATCAATATAAGATAAATTGATATTCATTAATATTTCGAAAACCTTTTATATCTTTTATTTTCTTTTATAGATGCGTCATTGATTTTCCATCAATTATATTTACCATTCCTCCAGAGATTGTTTTTACTTATTATGCATTTTTTCTTGGATTTCTTTTTCCCGTATCAATGATAACAACATTTTATATTCTTGTTCTTGTACGTCTTAGTCATATACGACGAAAACATAAATCTGAAGTCAAACAACGATCACATCGTAAAGTAACACGAATTGTTCTTGCTGTTATAACAGCTTATTTTATATGTTGGGTACCATATTGGTTCTTACAAATATTTATAACAATTGATCCATTAATACATTCATTACGTTTAAATTTTTCAATATTACCAGTGAATACAACTATACGTTGTCTTAAAGAATTAACGCATTTAACAACAATAATTGGTTATGCAAATAATTGTCTAAATCCTGTTCTATATGTTTTTCTATCGGAATCATTTCGTGAAGAATATTTAATTGTACTTAAATGTTTTCCTCCATGTCGTATATTTATTGATGATCAATCAAATGATGAAAATATCTGTCCAAATTCATATGAACGTGATGTAAGTCATCGAAGATCAAGTCCATTGAGTAGACGACAAAATAGATCTATGAAAAAAATAAAACATAGCGTAGCTATCGATGAAATACCTTCAAATTATCGAAAATTTTCATTATGTTTTTATCGTGGTAATGAACATAAACGTCATTCACATACATTTTGCAATCGAAAGAATGAGTCTCGTATACATAATGAAGAAAATATGGCATTATCTCATAGCAAATCTTCAAATCGAAATCCAGATACTTATCGTAGAAAATCATTAGTCATGGTAAGATTATCTTTAGTTCCCATACAACCATTACCAAAAATCTTGGATGATGGTGGTGTTTATTGTGGAGAATAAACAGAATATCATATTTATTGTATTTTTTCTATTGTAAAAAAAACTTCAAGTGAATCTTTATTTTATATGTTTCAAAACACTAAAATTTATTTTATTTATTAATAAATAAATATTAATTTATACATATATTCTCAGTTCAATTGCGCATTCTTTTCTTCTATCTATAGACTTAACACATGATAAAAGGGATTAAAGAGAATTAATAACAAATGAAAAATATATTTGTCATTAATTATATTTTAGTGACTTTAGACAGACGTTTATTCATATAGTTTGATGTATTTTTCAATGGAAATAAAAAAAACATTAAATTATATAGATGAATTTTTCTTGAAATCTATGACATGGAAATAATTGCATGATTTATTTTGCAATGAAATTATAAAAAAAATGTATTCATAGAACAAAAGTTTATTCAGCCGTGTACAGTAAATATGTCTAGGTCAAACTAGACTTATTTATTTTTATTGTCATTTAATACAAATTTTGTAAAAAAAGATAAATTTGGAATGAAATAATGCATATTTTGATCCAAATTAAATAAATTCTAAGAATTACAATGCAAACAATAGGTAGACAAGATCCTAAGGTATACGAAAGAAAACTATATGTATATAATATTTATCGACATGCAAGAAAGTTTTTATATGTCCAGATAAGTCGGTTCTATTTGTTAATATACTCTATGGCTTGCATAAATAATATCGATAATCTATATAAATATCACAAGACTTTAAGTAAAAGTACTGATATAGATTAGCATATGTTAATTAGATTTTTTTTAGAATCTTGCGCATCACTTCTAATATTAAATACTAAATGAAGAAAGTTTTAGTGTATAATATAAATAACTTTTTAATTATAGGAGATAAAGAATTCGAGATGTGCACTTCCGGTTCATATTTTTTTATTTTTCTATGAAATAGAAGATGGACATGAAAAATAAACAATTTTATTTATCCTAACGTTCTTTTTTTTCTATTGCAATTTCATTATTCAACATAAAGAAAATGTCAAGTGCTATTTCTGATAACTTAAAAGATTGAAGTATTTTACAGTTTACAAAGTAAAATATCCTTGTCAATATTTATTTACATGAATCTAAAAATATCATTCACAAGTGCTGAGGAAAGATATTAACTCAAAAATCAAAATTATCAACAAAGAGGAAACATAATAGAAATATTTGTTTTAATCGAGTACAGTACAAATAAACTACAAACAATTAATAGCAATACTTCGAACAAAGGCTTCATTATCCCACTCAATCTTTTTATTTATAAAAAGATTATTTGATCTTTGCACCAAATTTGAAAAATCTTTTTTCAGAGAAGAGCTTTGTGACCTGCCGCCAAATAAGTTCAAAGTTTTTGTTTTTTTAATTATATGTATTTAGATAGTGACGTACTTATTTTGTAATAAGACCTACTCGTGCATGATTATTAATTATAGCTGTATTTTCCATTCAAATGACTTCGAAAATAAAAATAAATTTCTTCACAGTCGAATACACAATTGTGAAAGTATTGTTTTTACTATTTCTAAAATACTATCACTAAGATATGCAACGTCGCATAGATCTGCAAATGATCTTTGATAGATGAATTGAATTTGAGTTTAGGTGTTTTGTAATTAGGTAAATAAACATTCATTCTTATAACTACATGATAAGCAGCTGCGTGGAGTATATTACCAGCGATAACAACGATATTGTTGTTTGATTATCAATTTCAATTGTATTGAGTGCAAAGATGCAGAATCTTCCCCAAAAACCAAAAGTTTCCTCCCCCGCAAAAACTGTTTCGAAAAATTTTCCCAGTTATATTCCAAAAAATTCCCCAGAATTACTAAAAAATTTCCCTGAAAAATGCAGTTTAAAAAAAATTTCTTCCTCCGCGCGGGGACGCACGAAGAAGGTTCTGCACCTCTGATTGAGTGACTCTAAACTTGTTTGTACAGTATTAGCTATAGTTAAATAATTCTAGGTAATTTTGTTTTCCAAAACAGAACTGTTTATTCAACATTGCATTTTGTAACAATAATATTTGAATTTCTATCATATTTTAAAGTTTGTATCTTTCATTTGATGCTCGTTTAGTATCAGGAAAAATAATTAAATATATCACTCGATATCATATTTTATGTTTTATCTTAAAGACAAACGAACAACACAATTGCGCTTTTTTTTTGATTTTGTAGTTAATGTGTGCGTACCATCGAACAAGGAGATTCGAAGTTATATATGATAATCGGAAGTAAAGACATTTGACAGATGAAGAAAAGATGAACAACAGCAAAAAGGACAATCTCTAATGGACATTTTCTTAACAGAAACAAAAAAAGAAAAACACAAAAAAAACGAAAGAGACAAGAAAAGCATTTTTTTTTTCTTTCATAAATTTTTAATCAATGACATATACAAAGAAAAAATCTAGTTTCTTGTTTATTGTTCTATATCTTAATCGTATTGATTAATAAACAAACTCTAATAGGCACGTTCACGATAACGTGATGATGAGTGTCGACCTGATGATGGTGGTGGTGGTGATGGTGAATGATGATGTGAACGACCACCATTATGAGAACCATGATGACGATCACGTTCACGATCACCACGATCACCGCGATCACCACGATCACCACGATCACCACGATCGCCACGATCACCACGGTCACTACGATCACGATCTCTTGAATGTTGATTTTGTTGTCGATATTGTTTAGCTGCTTCATGATGATCATAGAAACAACGATCCGAATAACGACAAAAACCATGACGAAGATAATATCGACAAGGAAGTGTCCTTTATAATTAAAAATAAAAAATTAATTAATAATTAGTTATTTGAATAAGAAGAAGAATAAGAGAATAAAAAGATATTTTTTAAAAAACAAAAAATATACCAACGTTTGTTTCTTTTTTATAAAGCTCATACTGATATAAAGATAAAAATCACAGCACATCTATACATACAGTTGAAAATCTTTTGATATTAAAAAATAAATAAATATTTTGTTTGTTCTTCCAAAGATAATTGGGTATAAATATTTCTAACAAGCCAAAGTAAATATAAATGATACTCGTTTAAATAATAATCAATAGTAATTAAAATAAATCTGTTTAAGAATAATGAACTTAATCTGAGGAAGAACTCGAACGACGAATAAAGACACAGGTCTAGAAGAATGAGAGAGTGAAGTTCACTGTCATCCGTATTTACTAATTAAATTATTTGTTGTTTTTTTTTCTCCAAATATTTTTTTTTTATTTATTTTATAAAAATAACTTACTTTAAATGATTTTTATGTTTTCTGACAATACGACTTTTGTCATCTTTATTATCAAACCATTGTTTACTTGGTGTTATGAATGCTGAACGAACTTTACAAACCGGACAACTAAAATAAATAAATTAGATAAAAAAACTAACACATAATTTCTCTTTTCGTTACCTTTCTGATTCAGCATTGCTATATCTTGAACGTTTCCATGAAACGATACATTCATAACAACTAAAAAATTAAATTTCACTTTTGCTTATATTATTATGTAATTTTGAAATATAACATACAAGACATGATCGCAATTATCAAGTAAACCATATAAACGTTTAGCTTCTTCAACATCAAATGAACAGATCGCACATATATGTCGACCAGAATCACCACCGTCTTTATGACGACGTCGTTTTGATGATGAACTTGATGGAGGAGGTGGAGATGGTGATGAACGTCGATTATTTTCTTTACGAACGCCAGGTGATCTTGAACCTCCAATTGAACTTCGACTACGTGATCGTGATACAGGTGAACGAGGTGATGGCGGCGTACGACTACGACTGATAAAATAAGAATATTTATGTAAAAAGAAAACGATTATTTTTTACTTTGGACTATCTCGTCGACGTTTTTGTGCTGATGATGATGATTGACGAACAGCACGACCATTACTTTCCTTGTCATCGATAAGAATAACACTCGAATGAGAATGAGACCTGGGTAATGGATCAGGTGAAATTGAACGTTCTGAACTCATTATTTAAGCAATTGACATACGATTATGTGAATATTTAATTCTGAAAACAAAAACAAAAACTACTTTCTTTTTTTTCTTTCTTTCTTTTCTTTCTTTCTTTCTATCTAATCGTACAACATGATTTTAATAAACAAATAAATAAATAAGCGAATAGAGAAATAGATACAGACAAATGTCGATTCATGTTAACGAATTGTTAAACAAATTAGAATTAGTTTCAAATAAAATAAAATACTCTCTAGAGATATTTATGTATTTTTTAATAATTTGAAATTTATTTTCCATTAATTATTAATATTTGACAAAGACAGAATATATATATTTATTTATAGATGTCGCACTAAACTGTCATTGATCAATACTATCATTTTCCAAATTGTAAGTACAGACGTCTGATACGATAAGGTTATTCTTTGATACATTTCGTTGATGTCATCGTAGATGGGCTACTTCGGAACAGTTATTAAACTCATTGATTTAAATTAGCAAAAAACCATTGAAAATTTGATATATGTCCATTTTTAGTTTGAAAATATCTCTAATAACTGTCACTATTAATATGATTTTGATTGGTACATAGCATATGTCATTAGATGTATCATATTATTTCTTTCTCCAATAATTTATTCAGCATCCTGTTTATTGGTTATATATTTCTTCACGAATAAATGTAGCTACTTGTTAAATTCAAAAATGAAATGAATTAAAAAACACTCAACTTAATATTTTAAAAAAGAATACAAATCACTCAGCAACATATCAGTCAATCTTGCGTGATATAAAATGACAAAATATCTTCTTCATTAAACTCAATGATACTGATACCAGTTTTAGTTTATTATTAACTAACATTTCTGGTAGTAAATCTTCAAAGAAGCTCTCTAAGTAACGATTTTATTGATAATTGCTCGACATACAGAAATGTCGAAAGAAAAACAACAGCCATAACGGACGGCTGAAATGAAATGATTAAATAATTTCTCTTTCGACTGGCTTATGTCGTTGAATGCGTTCAGTCTTTATTTGAAGAAATACTACTTGACTTTTCGTTATTTTACATTTTATATACAATGACTATTTTTTATAATAGAATTTCATTTATTATTTACCATAAAAGATAAAATGTTGAATATAAATAATTTCACCTTTAAATGAAATAAGACAAAGAGTGCAATAAATATTATTGATGCTTAGATCTACATTTCACTATTCATTTATTTAATAAAATTTGTAATAACTTCATAAACATTACTTCTCATTGAGAAATTTTAACTTCTAGTATGTGATCTGGCGATAGAGAGTGAAAATTATTAGATGAAATTTGTATCAAAAAATCAAGGTCTTTGTTTGATTCTAGAAATGTGGAACGTATTCTTATTTTTCTCTTTTCCATCCATTCAAACAAGAGTGATTATAGCAATAAAAGATCAGCTTCTCTAAAATAATTCCATTGACAATTATTTCACTCATATAAAAATAAACGAAGTTTTATGAATATCTAATGTATATAAAATAGTATAAATATGATCGCTGAAATAACAATGGTAATATATTATAATTATTTAGAACTTTATTTCAACTTTAATACTACAATCATAAATATTTTGTTCAAATCTCAGTAGATTGTTATTCTGTTAGTGTGGTAGAGACATCTCTTGACATTATTTCCATTGGATCATTACAAAAACTAATGTATTTCTTCTTCTTGTTTTAGACGAATAATAGTTCTAATAAATTCATTATGTCACGTTTCCTATAAAGAATTTCAATATATTTTACATTTAGACTCTCAATTTATCCATCAATATAGACAGATAATATCTCTATGAAATAATTTACAACATAGTTATTTACATATTACAATTATCTAAACAGTTATAAAACTATCGTACTTCATCCGTAGACAATATTCATTTATATTTCACAATTGTTTCTACGCAGATTTTATTTTATTCATTATTGTTTATTAAATTTCAAGACTAACTACTATAATATTCTCGTATCGGATAATGGTAGTAAAAAACAGAAGATATACATGAATGGATTTGTAACACATTCTAATAAATTAAATAATCTGATCAAATCTATAGCTTATAGAGCATAACGATAAACTAGTATGTATATATGTTAGTTTTTGTAAGGTTATTGATGCACATCGAATGTTTATTGAAATGTTTTTCATCATTTACTATAAAACAACAAGTTGTATTGTAAAATACATATGCATTTTTATTAATATAAGATTAATGATTAGTCATGTACATCGTTCGAATTCTCTTAGAATTTTAAAATAGATTATTTTTTTGTAGATAATTTTTTTTTTCTTCATGTAAATCTCAATCGGGCAATGTAATGTCGAATAGTCCAACAGATACAGTTACACCGGTGCGTCCAACACAACAACGTCCACCGAGAATTCCAACACAAACTGCCGATGGTGATACAATGGAACGACTTTTTCAAGCATTATTTTATCGTATTGCAGTTATTTATGCTCGAGCTATTCCTAAACATATTCGGCGATTAGGAGAAACTGCGATACTTGTTATGGTATGTAAAATTCCAATTAATTTAATAATAAAAAAATAATTTTATTTGATATTTTAGGCAATTATTTGTATGAGTTTACTTATTTATCTTCATGTTGTATTCAATCAAAAACCAGTGACATGTCTTTCTCATTTACATGATGTTTGGCCAAAACAAGGTGTACTTCGTGTTGAACTTTTTTTTGAAACACCACCTGAAGGTTATAATCTTCAACAATCCTATGCTAAAGAATATCAAAGTGATTATATTTATGATAATAATGAGAAATCTTCTTTACCAAAACAATCATTCGAAGTAATAGACAAATTTTTATAATAAATTGATTTTCTATTTTTCTTTATTATTAAAGTCTCTGCCAGTAGCTGAAATATCTATTGAACAATCCGAGGATACTATTTCAGAAGAATTTTATTCTAATACGAGTGTAAATTCTTCATTAGTATCTTCAATAGAAACGTCGGATGATTCATTTACGAATAATTCATTCAATAAGACAATAAATAATAATTCACCAATAATGAGTATTGATTATTTCGACGATGAAAATGACGATACGGATACAGATCATGAAGATGATTCTTTATTTAATTCAATTCATGATTATTTATTTAATTTCGATTGGCTTAAACAATTAATACTTGAAGAACAACATATTCTTGAATATTCACTTGAATATGGATTTTTACGTTTACCACCTGATACTCGACGACGACTTAATATTGAAGTTTTACTAGTTACGTTAGGTAAGAAAAAATACTATCTTTTACGATTTGTTCAATTTTCAATAATATAATTTATGTCTATTAAATAAAAGATGTAACAAATGATACATGTTTTGGTGGTGGTCTTAGTCGATTTATGCTTGATCAATTTATTGGATACCAAGAAATTCTTATGTCAAGTATAAAACAATTAGCAGAAAAAGAAACTCATAAAGGTATAACAAAATATTATATAATTATAATTGATAAGCAAAAAAATTCTATTTTAGGTTATGTTCGAAATGTAATGACAAATGATCATTTTCGTTTTGTCAGTTCATGGCAAAATCGTCGATGGTGGACATATTTAGTTGCTTTATGTATTATGGTTGTTTTTGTAAGTTAAAAATTCAAATTTTTATTATATTATAAAAATTGTTTTTCTTTTATTAGACAATTAGTATATCAATGTTACTTCGATATTCACATTTTCAAATATTTCTATTTATTGGTAAAAATAAAATTCTAAATATTAATTTAGTTTTTATTTCAATATTGATTTTTTTTAGTGGATCTTTTACGCATGATTGAGCATAATACATCAGTAGTATTTCCTGCTGCTCCATTACTAACAGTTATTTTAGCACTTATAGGTATGAAAATGTGACTTTTTTTGTTTTTAAAAATAGTACAATTTAATTATTTATTTAAAAGGCATGGAAGCAATTATGTCAGAATTTTTTAATGATGCATCAACAGGTAGAGAAAAGAGCTCACTTTAGAACTATTTTTATTTTTGTTTATTCTTATAGCTTTCTATATCATTCTTATTGTATGGGTATCAGATCAATACGATAGTATTTGTTGTCATACACCAATAAGTAAACGTCATTGGGTTCGGTAAGATTTTTTAATATTTATATTTAATACTACATAGTTTTGCATATTTTTTTCCTCAAGATTCTTTTATATATATCATTTTGCATTTTATGCATATCATGCACGTTATAATGGTCAATATTCTGGTTTAGCATTAACAACAAGCTGTTGTTTTATTGTTCATTCAATGTTATATTTTTTTCATCATTTTGAATTACCTATTATTGAAGCACAGCTTGTTCATATATTTGTTGATCAAAATATAATAACACAACCGTCACCGACCACGGAAACCAGAACAACAACAACAACAACAACAAATGAAAGAAACGATAACGAGGAAATATTACCAACAACTTAAAATATTTCATTGTTGCTATTTTATGTGTATATTAATAACCTTTGTCACACTCTCTAAACGAGTGTGTATTTGTGTGTACAGTTAAGGTTTTTATTTTTTGTCTGTTGTTGAAATTCTATGTAGTAGTGTGATTATATTTCCTTTTTTTTTCATTTTTCAATTCGTGTGGTTTTTTTTGCAAACAGTATAAGAGACGAGCGGGCTAGTAGATACAATCTCATATATTTTCATTTTTTTATTTATTTACTAGAAAATGAAAAAAAAATCAATGAATAACAATATAATATGTTAAAAATAAAGAAAGAAGAAAATACAATATTACCATCTCTGAAATTATAATCGCAATTCGTATTAGGAAGCTTTTTTTTATAAGGTTTATTTAAGATAGTTTCCAATATTATTTATTTTTATATGATAAAAATAAGATACGCGTTCCAGTATGATACGACGAGAGATGAATCTTCAAAATTTACATATACTTTGCAGACTCAGAGTTACCAGATGCTACACTCGAAAATCCAAAATCTGATTGCTAAAATTCATAGGTTCTTCGAGAAATCGGAAAAATATCCGGAAATTTTCCAGGAAATCCTAAAGACCTGGCAACCTTGTTTGCAGACAACAAATTAAAGATAGACAAACAATGTATAGCATTTTTAATAAATAATGTAAATGAGAGAAAATATTATCAAGGTTAAAATTAATGTAATTCATTGTTAATATAGAGTAGTAATTATGATATTTTGGAATTATATGTGGTGCCCTGTTTTCTAGACTAAGCTTCCGATTAATTCACCTTTATATAACGTATTATTTTGGTCGATGATAACGGCTATGTAATAATATGTCTATGTCATCAAATGCCATTGTACTCTATCATTGTGAAATACGGATCATCAATTTGAATCTGAACTTGAGACGTTGACAATATCAAAAGAACTTTTTTTTCACAATGAAATGATATCAGAATTAATACGAAAGAACATATTATTACAATATCTTTATTGTCTGTACTATTGTAATCGAAATCATTCCATTGAGATATACTGTTACTTGAAGTTTTTGTATCAAAATTGATCAAGGTATTCATTCACATGAATAATAAAATTTTAATAAATGTACCTAATAAACTTTTTCTCTGCTGTCTTGTTGTCTGATATTCATGTCACTTTAGCTCATCCATGTAAAGTGGTCAAAATCTTTGAATACTTATTTGATATACAAGAAAAACGATGTAGTAGACAATATAATCATCTTTTAATTTCATGAAAGTCTTGTGTTATCTTTACTCCTTGGTGCATCATCCAAAAATCTGAATTTTGATCAGAAACAGTAATTAACAAGTCAAAAGAACGTAAATTCACGGAGTACAAGCTCGAAATAAGTAAAAGTATCTGCGCAATATATGTTCAAACGCTGTACTGGCTGTTATGAAAAAGGAAGGAAGCAAGAATCAAAGGAAGTGAATCATGCGATAGCAAAAACAGTAAAAACTTTCTATTTTGATCGTAATTAATCTTTTCATCTTAAATTTTTTAACAAGAAGCATTGTGTTATGAAATAAAGGACTCAAAAGTATCGAATACATAGTAGATGGCATATTATGTTGAACCTTTTGTCTAAGAGAAAAAAGTGCGTTCACTATATAATTTTTCCTTAAAATATAGTATGGACCATATCATCTTGAATGTGTTAATTTTGAACATTGTTCTTACACTATTTAATTGAAAAACATGTGATTAACTGTTTTATATCTTCGTGCATTTGTAAGAAAAATCATGGTATTATTACTATCAATCTTACATTGAATTTTCAATTCGTATTCCTCCTACGTTGTTAGAGTGATGTATGAGTACAAACGATATAATTGCTTTATTTCAGTAATTAGCTGTTTAGCATCGATCATTAAAACATCGTTATAACAGTTATACTAACAAGAGTTAACATGTAAAATATTTGTAAAACAGACAGAAACCATGCAAGTCATAATAATAGGTCATAAAATACAATACTATGACATATTTGTTTTCAGTTCAATAGATTATGCAAAGTTATATTTTCTGAAAAATGTATGTACATATATTTTTCAACCCTTGCAAAATATTTGTTTGCACATTGATAGAATTACAGTATAACGCAAAGAAAATTGATCTATAACTAAACAATGAGAAGTAATAAGATAATCTATCTGATGTTTTAAACCCTGGAGTTCTATGCTCGTTGTAAACAGAGTAAGCTTTTATTCTGTAAAAATATTTACAGAATAGAGAGCATTCTATAGGCTAGATATAGTTTTTGACCATATCTAAAGATCTTCATTAACTTTTACATATGCAAATAATTTATCTTGAAAAAACTAAAAACTTCCTTACAAATTCAAGGATCAAATAGAGATTAGTTGTATGTTTACATTAATATTAATATTTATTTTTTGTCAGATAGTACTTGTCAGATGTAAAATTCTAGGCAATAAATTAATAGAAAATAATCGGCTTTTTTAATATATTCTTCTACTGCATCATATGCTGAATGTATTATAATATTATTGAGGATGAAATAAAAAAAAACCCTGGATCGAACAGCATAGTATATAAACAGTTGAATTATAGTACTTTCGAACACCGTATATGTATCACAATATTATAATGTCGAACAACCAATGTTAGCCAATTAAATAATACAAAAAACAATAGTACCAGTCGCACAAATGAGAATATTTTATTTATTTTTTAGACTAAACTTAATTATAAGAACAACAGAAAAAACTTTTTTTATTGAGATTTATTTTAACTATATAAGCAAAAGAAAAATATAGTCGAAAGTGATGATTGTAGAAAACATAAATTTGATATCGTCTATCTATCGAAAATAATTCTTTAATTATAATCGTTTTTTTTATTACATAGACAATCATAAAAGTTACAATTTTTCACAAAAAAAAGGCCTATTAACATATATATAAATACTTAATAAGATAAATGCTAATGACTGCGCAGTTTATTAAGGAATTGTCTTAGACCTGTTCGAAAGGTTATACCACTAAAAGAGTAAAGAAGAAAATTAATTGAATATGATGCATATGATATCGCTTGTGTAATTAAAATGGCCATATAGATTAGATGAATGAGAATTTTATCGTCAACATCATTCATATCAAGTGATGATGTATCATTGTGATGTGTTACATTATCATCTGCTTGAATATAAACAAACTTTTTTGATGAACTATCTGTTAAATTTGCTCCATGTAGGAAATTCGACAGTTCAGTATGTTCATGAAAAACTGGTGTATTAATAGTAGTATAAATTTTCAGGGCTATCATACATATATGTACTGGTGCATTGAGTATAAGAAAACATGTTGAAACAAGAACAAGCATACGTGTAACACGAATTGATTGTGTTGTTTGACTATCTTTAGGAGAAACATACTCTGCATCATATGATGAAAATACGACTTCTTGTGATCCATTTAAATTTAATGATATATTAGGCATTTTTTTCTTATCATTATGTAGTAATGTGGTATCTTGTTTAGATGTTTGTGAAAGATCATTTGTTACCATATCTGGATATACTATTTCGTTTGGTGACTAAAAAAAAATATATTAAATATAAAAATATACAATAAAACATTTTTTTAGTTATTCTGTAAGGATTTATGTTGAAGTTTTATTCATGGAAGACTTATTAAGATAATATTTATCTATGTCATTTATATTATAGATAATAATACATTAATATTCTTAATATAAATAAACCAACATTCGATAGTTAACTATCCGGTAACATTAAAGAACATATCCTATATCTTTCGATGAATTCAAAGTCATATGTTGTAGGAGAGAAATAGTTATCTGAAATGTTTCATATATGTTTTTAAAAAAATACCATCGTACATGCCTCTAAAAGCGTAGAAAGCTAATACGAATAATATTTTATAGCTGTACTATACTTGATCTTCATGTAATGTTTATAGATAACACGGTATCATAAACTCTCAGTAATAAGATAATCTCTGTTCGATAGAAAATAAATATCAAAAAGTCATAAGTTATTTCAGCACACTTTTATATTCTTTATATCATACATTAGATAGTAAGATAATGGTATCTACGTATACATGTCATATTAGGCGAAATCTGTTAAAATAAGTTTTTTATAAGAAAACAAAAATCTCGATGTAAATTATTTGAAAATATATGAAGAAATTCTATCTTTCAGACAATAAACTTATATGATATAGAAATATTTGGTATAAAACTTCCTGTTATTTCTACAAATATATACTGTAAATGTATAATTATATTTCTGTTGAACTTTCTCATTGTAATCAGAGTATAATTTATAGCTTTAGCATTTCAAAGTGACTCGTAGCTTATTATTTACGCCATGTTTATTTAATTATAAGGATGTTTGACTGCTTTTCAAGTATAAGGATGTTTTATCGCTTTTCAAGTATAATGATGTTTGACTGTTTTTTCAAGTATAAGGAGCTATTTAGGAAAATTGTTATTCCATTGACATGGAAAAGAAAAATATCTATAAATATTCATAATCATATCTAGTTTCTTTTCATGAAGAATATTTTAATTTACGAAAGAGTACTCGATAACTCCAATTAAAAATGAGATTTTGTCGTCTTTGATGTCTTCTTTATAAATAGGAAATATGATATTTTGTTTATCAACTTCATCAATTGGATATTTTAATAACTTACTATTGAAATACATTTGTTATTTGACTGCAATTGAGTTCCATCGACATTATTATATAATACTATTGTTTCTTTCTTTTTCATTAAAGTAGTACTTTCATCATGTTTGTTCAATGAATTAATTAAATTAATTTTTTTATCGTTATCCGCTTCTGATAATGTACCCTGTAAAGTCGGTGGACAACCATACGAATACGTTCCTGAACAACTTTCCTCACGAGGATTATTTTGGTTTTGTTGACGAATTTTTGTATATTTAACTTGTTTATCACGTCGTAATGTTGATTGTACAGTAATAGGTGAACGTCCGTGTTTACGAATTAAATTAATAATTAGTATATTGAACATTAAAATAAGGGAAAATGGAATGACAAACGAGAATAAAGCATCAGTAATAAACCAAAATAAATGAAGTTCTTCGGTACCCTCAGAGTAATCATTATAATGTATTAATAAAGAATAAAATACAATACTAAATGCAAGAATTAATAAACAAGAAACAATTGGTGATAATCGTTTATGTGTAGCTGCTTGAATTGGATATCGAACAGCAGTATAACGTTGTATAGTAAATAATACAGTAAAACAAGCTGAAAGTACTTCAGCTAAATGACTAAGAAATGAAATAGTTATAACAAAATATATATGGTTTCCACCAAAAAAACCATGAAAAACTCGAATTAATAAAGCAATATTATAAATAATATCACTAAGAGCTAAATAAAAATAAAGAAATATTTCGTAGATTTGTATTATTTTATTAAAATTCATTTTTCATTAGTTTTGTTATTGTAAAATAAATGAAGAATAAATAAAATCGCATAAAAATATAGATCAATTATTTCCTATATAAATAGAAAATAGCAAACACTCTGACATACTCAGTTATTTTTGCTTCTATTTAGCTTATTTTTTGTTCTAATAGTACCCTTTTATATCTTCAAGGTCATTATAATTGAGCAAACAACTTGTTCAATATACTATTCCATGCACGATGTTTGAATTTCCGCATTGCCGGATATGTAATAACTTTGAGTAAAGCTAACAAAATGATTTATCTTAAATCATTCGTATAATATACTATTCCGGCTATATTTTAATATATATTACTTTTTCTCGTTAATATATATGAAATTCAAATTATTGAGTAAAATAACTATTAGCTAAATTATTTCCTTATAGGAAGATCAAAGTAGAATTAATTATAAGACTAGCTATTGATCTAACGCGACTATTCTGAAATAACATATCATAGTAAAAAAATAGCTGAAAGAAAGAGTCACCCTCCATGCTATACTATTTAACCCAAATGATTATTTGTTATGAAGAAAAATACATATCAATGGTTAATAATGACTTATAATTACTACGTATATGAGGAAAATAATATAAGTAGTCAGGAAAATTTGACATGTCATAAATGTAAATCATTATTGTAGAATAATATTCTGTTATTATACATGAGAATGTCAAACGAAAGACTATGACATCTCAATTTTTTGAGATTAAGTTAATTATTAATATCTCAATATGGAGAATAACTAAATCTAGGTTTTATGCTATACATATAATGAAAAAACACATAGATGTTTTCTCAAAACTAATAAACTAAATTTGATTGCTAGAAATTATTCAGAAATCATTAGACATGATCGATAACAAGATTAAAATGAAAAGCATTCATTTAAATTGATTTTTCATATTTCTAATGATTTTTCTTCATATCCATGCAGTGTTTCCATTAATTTTTATTGATTTATAATAACAAGATAAAAATAAATTTCGGCCGAGAAATTACTCAAGCAGACAATAAATTAGGAAAAACATATTCAAACGGACAAAATTGAACGACGATTGTGAACCATTAACGCTTAACAAAAACACGGAAGAAAACGCGTCTATCGACAACTTTCCAGATGTGAAAACGGAGAGAATTTCAGTGTTTCATCACTTTTATTCTAGAATCTAAAAACAATGAGTTTTAACGATAAAAAAACTAAAGTATTTGTCGTTTTCAAATCGAGCAATTTAGAGAAAATGTATTTTTTCAAATTCCTGTCTACATGGATAACTTTCTCTGCATTGATTATACTGATTTACTAATAGATATGCACTCCGAAGTGCTTATTTTTCAAATGAATTACTCGAATTTCTTATATTTTTACTACACTAATATCATCAAAGATACACTTAATATCCTATATTCTTGAAAGAATGTTATCTATTAAAATAAACATGCCATTTTTGATTTGTTATGTATGTGTTTGCTTAACTATAGTAAAAAAATATAATGTTGTTCCTTTTATATAATTAACTATTTAGTTTCATATCGGATTTATTCTTTTCTTGTTTTCTGTCTTTGATTTCTCATATATGAATATTCAACTATCTTCTTTGCTGACAATAGAATAATTAAACATAAGAAAAATACTAAACATATTAATAGCGTGTGTGATTTTTCAGTCAAAATATTATATAGAAATGCTATAAAAATAGATCTTTTGAAAATCTTATTTGTTACATACCTAATGCAATTAATGCCCATTTATGTTTAAGACTTTTTGTTACAAAATTTTTTGATAGAAGCACAATAGTTGACGTATTAGTAATGAGACCAATAAATCCAATTATGAATATATATGGATTAGTAAATTTGACTAAAATATTATGTATATCTCGAAATTGATTATAATATTTTGGTGTATTAATTGTCAATTTAGTTGCTGTTGTTGTTATATTTGACATTGTTGAGTATAACGGATGAAATAAATATAGCTTCTAACCGGTTGAAATGGAATGTCTAAAATGTAATGATAATCATGACAATGAATAACACGTCTTTTTCCTCTTCTCTCTTTTTTTTTCTCTCTTCTTCTTCATTCATTCTTCAACTGTCTAATATTGTTTTTCTCTCTTTCTTCCTTCAAGTACTCAACTTTTTTTATCCATTCTATATGTTTCTTTTTATATCACCGAACCATGTTCTACTATTACTTTATGCTTAATACACATTTAGAAAATTAACAAGAGCTAATTAATATAAAATAGAAATAAAGTGTAAAATTTACAGTGTCCCAAAAGTCCTGTCTACTTAAGAAATGCGTTTATCTTCATTACCATACAAGCTTAGTCTAATCTTTTTTTTGTGTAGTACAAAGTTTCTAAATTCTCTAGAAAGGCTATTCTTTTGGTGAAAACATCAAAACTTACATTTTTCTAGATGTCAAAAAACAACCAAAAATATTTACAAACATTTCTGATTTCGCAAATACCTCGGTCTGAGAAAATAATAAAATCTTAATCTTTTTGCCAAAAGATGCTTCGTGAAAAGCTCTACTAAAACTGCATAAATCAATTCTGTTGATTTTCTGTAGTGACTTTTCCCTTACTTAATATGAACAACTTATATAGTACCACTACTTCACAGTAGAATAAAAATGTCTGAAAGACGTTTTTTTTTGCAATCATAAAACTCTCGAAGCTTCATCTTTCAAAAATCAATTTAAGATTTCATCATTGTGTTAAGTCGAAATATATGCGAAATAAAATTGTTGTAAACAATTGGTTATTATCGGCTTTTAGCAAAGTCTAGGTTCTCATGTTTTCACCAAAAGGATAGGCTTTCTAGAGAATTTATAAACTTTGCATTACACAAAAAAAAACTTTATTCACTTCTCTTTCAGACAAAAAAACGGATCAAACTAAGCTTGTATAGTAATGGGGATAAACGTATTTCTTAAGTTGACAGAACTCTTAGAACACCCTGGATATGACTCAGTGTTGAAACTCTTTAGATATTAACAGAATAGTTTATATTAAAAACTAATTAATTTCAAATAAGAATTTATGTAAAAAATATGCAATCAATAATATATATCTTCATTTCTTTAGGTTAACAAACTTTGAAGTGTAAAATTAATTAGTTCTAATGATGCGTATATAAAGTGCAGAACATCTATGGTTGTAAATAATAACAGATTGTAAGACTGTCAGTTCATATAAATAATCTTCAATGTTTCGACAATATATACATTTTCCTCCTAGTTAAATTGCTGATGATGCATGGACACTAATGACAGAAAGAGGAGACAAATGACAAGTGAAGCAAAAAATTAGGAAGAATATAAAAGATAAATAGAGGATAGAATAACATTAATTTAGTTTGAATAAAATCAACTGGATACACCTACTATAAATAGTATTTAGCTGTACAATTATTTTTCTTTAAAAATATATTCATGTATGCAAAAAAAAATATTTAGATTAAATCTACACATGTCATTGAATAAGTATACCTATACCTCGAATTTTCTAAATGTAATAAATGATGAAGGTAGTTTTTCTTTTTTATTATCAATATATAATCTTTATAAGTACTATCAATCAATGACAATCGAAAACTTCGAGCAAAATATCAAAATAAAACATCTAGGTATTCGAATATATTTTAAACTGCTTGTGTATACAAGCATTAAAAAGTAATGTGACTTAGATATATTTCTCTACTCTTATTATTTCAAAATAGTTTTATTCACAATGGAAAAATTCATATCACTTAATATTCGTCTCAAGTATTTAGTACTTTCTAACAAGGGTATTGATTCAAGACAGAGCAGAATATGATTATTTTATTGATAAATAACAAAGGACAGAATTATAAAGTTTTATTTTGTTTTTTTGTCATATAGAATATTATAATCATGATGTTTCCATAGTAAATAATCATGATTGAAAATTTTTTCTTAGAAATATGTCTTCGCTACAATCTGAAAAGAATAAAAACTTTGTCTAGACATTTTATACTTTACTAATAATTATGCTTATTATTTCGAAATAGTTTACTGACTGAGTAATATTTTTCTCATATTGTTTGATCTTTTAATGAATAAAATACGAATTCTAACATATAAAAGACTATTCGAAGCATGATTTTGATAAGTATTGGCAGTATCAAATTAATTGAATGTATTATTAATGCATAATTGACTTCATAGGGTTGTTGACTATATGAAACGAAGAAGGATAGCATAAGAACTAGCAAAAAAAATATGCAATGTCATCATAACTCTTTTTATCATATAGTAAATAAACTAGTGTCTCTAAATACAAAATATATTGTTATATATGGCGTCTGTTGATAACTTATATATCTTACTGCAGTTATTGTTTCATCATCGCTCCTAAACTGTCAACTATTTAGTTGGAGAAAAATGCCATTACACTATTTTTATTGCATAAATTAACTGTTATCAACTATAAACATAACCTCAGAAAACGAAAGGAAAAAATAGCACAAATAATAAACAATGATATCAAATATGAATTAATTCTCAAAGGAGAAGAATAATCTTATACTCAAATAACATATATTTTGCGTCATAGTTTTTGGAAGCGTTCTATTTTGATACTATACATGGAGAGATAATCTAATCTCATATTCGTGACAGACGAAGTCGCAAAAAAAACAATGAATTAATCAAGAAGATGTCATACTTGTTAAGCTAAAAGATAATTAAGATGATAAAGCAGATGTGATTATGAAACGTCTGATTATATTTTATTCATGTTTTATTTAGAATTCTGTTCTTGTTTTATATTTTGTATAGCTAATAAAGTGTATTTGAAACTTCTAATAATATTAATGCTCTAAAAATAATATATTCGATAAGAAACATACTAGCAATGAATCTAAAAGCAAAGAAGAATTATCAAGAAATGGTAGTACTTGTTTAACTGTTCATGATAAGTTTGAAAACGATGCTTCTAAAAACAAGGATACTAATGATTTACTATTCTATTCAAGAAGACAAAAAGAACAATAACAATAGATGTTTCATGCCCATACACATGTTTGTTAATCTCGTTGCTTAAAATTTTATAATTCTTCTCGTTAAAGTCCGGAAAAAGTATATATTCTCTCGTTTCAATCGATTTGATTTTTCATACGGTTACGCTTTGATTTCAGAATCCTTCATTTTTATTCTTTTATAATCCAATCTATTTCCTTAACAATCGTATTTCTGTTGCTACTTCAACTCTGCCTTAAGTGCCAAAAAATGATTAGAGGACTTCATTATGTCAATAATAAAAAAATCATTCTCTTCTTATGATAGTTATTTTTATTCTAAACATTATTTTCCTGGATATATGCTCTATTATTCGTATGAAATGATTGATGTCATTCTTGTTTTTTGTGAAATATTATTCTCTATCAAACTTTGAAACAAAAGATTTATATAATACTTTTTTTTTGACATGTTGACTCGATGAACTCGAAAATAATTTAAATATTTTTCTAAATAACATATTAATATACTAAATATAAAAATGATTTCTAGTCTAGTAATTCTTTGATAGACAAGAGCTCCGACTGTGATCTATTTCTATGAATTATTTTTTCTCTTCTCGTTTTCAGTCACATAATTAACATTTGTTCTATTCTTTGACATAGATTAATCATTAGTATCAGATATTCTATATTAATTGCTACGATTATAATCAAGCGACACAAAGAATATCTAAAACCTTAAAATTATTATTTGATTATATAAGCTATAGGGTAAAAAACACAGTAGCATTATATATGTCAAATTATAGAAGTAATAAAATCAGTCAGTCTATTTTGTTCTGACCTTGGATAGATTGCATGTTATGTCGTTATTTGACAGACTGATTTGATTTTAAAGAAATGCTCCAGAAGATTATACCTATTCAAACTATGTGTCACAAAATTACGTTCTAATAATGGAAACATGATATAATATTCTTTTCCGTAAGTTCTTTTCTCGATAAAATCTGTTATTTATAAATGAAAAATTCTTTTTCTATTCTTTATAGTCTTTGTATAAAGTATTATTACAAGAAAAAATGTTACCTGAATAGAATCTGCCCGGTGTCTATAAAATGGAGTCGATTAATTCAAGAATCGTTTTTTACATTATATTTCAAAAAAATGAATCTAAAAAATAGAGATTTTATAGTAAAATAATCATAATTCCTCGTATTATCTAGCATGCAGATCGTGAACATTATTTCTTTTAAAACTGCTTTTTGCAACCAAAAATGATTGAAATATATTCTTATGTACTTATGTTTTGTGACATGACATAAATAATGAGTACGAAGAGTTCATATTAAAAAGTACAATAGTCTGGTCAGGTCTAAATAATAAATGACAGAAAAAGTTCAAGGAAATATACGGAAATCTATATCTTTTTCATTATAAAAATAGACATCTAGATTACTTTTTATCTGATTCAGTTTATCTTTAAATAATAGGAAATAAACATCAGCTACTATAAACTTCTTCCAATTTAATTGAACGTGTAAGGGAGAAAAGACCTTGGAACATATATTATACATTTTTATAATAACAATCATCAGTTAGCAATATGATTGATATACGCATCTCTATCACTTTCATAAAATTCCGACTAGTCGTCTCACTAGATGATGCATTGGTATCAGTTTGATTCAGCTGTCAGAACTAAAGAAAATCGATATACAAACTTCAATTTTGGCTCGCTATATTCCAATAAAAATGTCCTGTGTACTCTCATATGTTTCTCTCGTCTTGTTTGTTCATTTAAATCGATGTTGTCAAGAAATCAGGAAGAGAAAAATCTTGAATAGAGAATCGGGAAAACATAATCCGAAGAATGAAAAGTACGGAAAAAAGAAATTGAAAAAAGAAAATCCGAAAAAGAAAAAATCAGGGAAATTTTATTTGAAGTTTATTAATCATAGAAGAGGGTGTGGGTGGGGTAGGGACAAGTGTTGGTGTGAATGTATAGGTATGGACTACTCTTCTTCCACACCAACACCCACACCACAAAATCTTTTCAGGTGATTCAATTCTTTTCCGGATTTTTCCTTCTTTGAATTTTGTTTACCGGATTACTTGACATATTCATTTAAATCGACAGTAATCGAACACGTATACAATAGATTTTTTTATACCTCTAAAGAAATTTAAACTTCTACATTCACAATTGACGACAATGTAGGTATTATCATTTTTTCTCAAAACTTTTTTTTTTGTGATAATCATTTCATAGGCGATGTATTTATTATTGCATACATTATAGCGATCAATCACTGATCGTATTCACTTTATTTAGATCAACATTGTAAGCGAAATATAATAATCTTGCTGTCATAGGACGCAAGCTATTAACTTTAGGCACTTTATGTCAAAAATATTAGAATAATTAAAAAAATATTTTAAACACATTTACTAACATGCAATACATATCTAAGTGAATTATCGTGTTATTTAGTATAACTATAATCAAATGTCATCTGAAAATGTATCATACATATTTTATATAGACTTTATCATGTACATTTTAAAACGATTGATAAATAATTTCATTCCAAGAATGAAATCTACAATAGTAAAAAGTATGTATCAAAAGAATTTTGAAATTGTGTTCTCTTCTGCTGCATATTTCGGGAGTTGACATAAATATCACTGTAAGAACTGTTCTTTCTATAGTGTATACTTCTTTAAAACTTTCTTTGACATAAATGAATGCATGCTGTTTCTTTTATCTCCTTCTATTTTCTATCACTTGTCTTTTATGAATGTGTTAATATATTTTATTGATACATGTCTTAATGACTAAAAGTTTCAACAAAAGTAGAATATCTTATCGTAAACTAAACTTTTAATAAATAAATCAAGTCAATTAATGGATGAGTTGGTATTTGATGCAATCCAGAAACTTAAAAGTAACTAATATTTAATTATCATATTGATTTACTAGTCTATTTAAATCAACAATTATCATCTAACACCATTGCTTGAATATTATACACTACATTCCTATCTAATAAATCTTTATAAGCTTCTTTGGACAAGCTATATCTAATATGATGTCAATGGAAGATATGGAATGATCAACAAACCTATTTATATTCGAATGTTTCGGACACAGAATAAATGCTATAATATCATTAGGAAAAATACCGAAATTATTCAAAAGTTATTCATAAGAACTTTTCATACGGATTTTTTAAAAAAATCTTATTAATAAAACTGTCTAGAAAACTAGAGAATAGATTATCAGTGCAGATACCTCGGAATCTCATTTATATTGCACAACAAGCCATGCGTTAACTATTTTTAAATAAAACTAAGAGGATGAACTTACTAGTTTACACAATGAACGTCTTTGAATTGATCGGTTTATCAGTTTGATACTTAGATGAGATTATGACCGTGTTCATAATCGAACTTTATGATATAATCATTCGGTTTATTGTCTTCGACATTTGACGATTCTTAGTTAGGAAGAAAGCTATTAATCAAAATACGACCTTTTCGAACATGATTACACATATCGAAGCTATAATTACAGCATATATTAGAAGAGTTATTTAATGTAGATAACTGACATTTGAATACGATGACATATTTTGATTGTTCTAGGGCTTGATGTATCATCTAAATTATTAAGATGTAAGCCAAATCTCTTATTTTTCATCAAAATGTCAAAGATAGTCTTACAAAAATTCTTTTCAAAATATAGAAATAATAGAAAACTTATACTATACTTGTACTCATCAATTTCAAACATAAGTTTGTTTCAGTTGACGAAATTAATTATTTTATATGAAACTCAACAGAGGACCTTGTCACTTTTAGTTGATGCAAAGGAAACTAAGAAAATTCTTTTGATTCTATGGTGATAATTATTTCTATACTTTATTAAATTATTAAAAGGGTATGAATCTGAAAAGGCAATTATCACATAACAAAAAAAAGAATTCTAGTTGTTAATATGGTTTTCACGAGACTACTACAGGGGTATTGGCATTGAAAAAAAAATATGTCAAACGTACTTTCTTTTAATACGACAAACAGTGTTGTTTATCCCTGGGAGAAATACGATTTATTTTAATCAGGATACATGCATAATATAAAAGGAGTATATTTATTGTTCTGATAGTCAACTATTCATAAACAGGAAAGAGACATGATCGATTACTTCTCAGATCAAAGAAGAAAAAAATATGGCATAAATTACTTCATATCTAATAGCTTGTTGAAAAAATGTCAAAGAAATAATTTATAATCAAACTATAATAATTAAATGTTATTTTATCCATCAATATCTGCAGTGATAAGAATTGTATATTAGTTATATTTCTACATAATCTTTTTTAATTAATACTTATTTAATAGTTATTTCTTATTATATTTTCTTATGTAGTTCATAATTAATTACGACATTGATTGATAGTTCTTATTTGAGAAGGATTCTTGGATTATATATACAATAGCTCATCACATCATTGAAGAAACAATATTTAATTCATTGGGGAAATCAAAAACATAGGTGAATAGATAAGGACAAATATGTTTTTATGTATTATATGCAACTATTCATATTTACATCATAATAAATGTTATTTTACTATAAACTCAGTTAAGCGAACATGATGATGATGATTAAAAGGTTGTGCATTTATGTTAAGTACATTGGATTTACCTTTTCTTTTTGTATTGTTTTGCATAAAGAAATCAGCTTGTGTTATTTGAGCATCGGCACACTTCGCATGACAAACTTTATATAAAAGTTCTATATGACAATCTAAAAGAAATGTCAAATATTGTTTATGAATGTATTTCAATGACAATTAAAAACGTATAATAAATCAAACTTTCATATTCTCTCCTAAGCATAAAAAAAATATTCAATTAATATATTGTGATAATTGAAAATTTTTCTATATTATCTTTCTAAATGATATAGTGTTATAAAAAATAATAATAACGACGTCGATTAAAATTATTTATTCATTACTATCTTTGACAATCATTAAATGTTTGCGCATATATATTTCTTGACAGTTGAGGAACATTTATTATCTTTCACTTGACACATTCACAGTTGTTATAATATACATTGATAATGGAGTTTATTTCTTTGGAAACGTGCTAGTTACTTACTCATATAAATACGGCTGTTGGCACAACTGTTGTATTCATACTATTGAATGTATCATACTTTTGTTTGTAGCGAATGTTTTGAATATAAAGACGAAAAAATAATTTCCTGTTTAATCAATGAAGTAATGTTCCTTTTTATTAGATAAAAACTATTCTGTTGTTGTCTAACGGACTCTGTGATCTTACTATGAATATCTATGTAAAAATTATTGACATTTTCTCATATCTTGACACTCACATTATTGCGATGGATTATTGATTTGAAGAAAATAATATGTTGTCATTTTTCTAAATTGATAAGTATTTTTTAATCAAATCAATATCTATTTTAAATAAATCTAAAAGAAAAGATCTTTGATAAAAGTACTTTTTTTTCATTTATAAATATTTTAAGTAACATATTACATATTATACATTGAATCGTATATATCAGATAAAAATGTCATATTAATCTTTAATATTTATAGAAGCTTCTTATATTTAATTCATTGCACGTTTTTACTCCTGGAAAAGATCTATATTTATTAGTAGTTATTTACATATGTTTCACATTTTTTAACAATGTATTTCTTAATAGAATTATTTTGAGTGTATCATATCTGTCACAATCAATAGAAGAATAGCAACATCTTCTTAATTACTATTTCTGACAGCTGTCTTTTACAATATTTTCAATCATATGAAACGAGTATATCGCCATAGAACTTATGTATCAAAAAAGAAGATAATAATAACGATCTTGAACAAAATAATTCAATCGAAATACTTGAATCAAATAGTAGAGAAAATTCAAAAAATATATTCATATTAATATTCTATAGAGGATTTTTAGGTGCTCTAAAATGTGATATTATAATCGTCTCATAATAAAAACAAAAGTCAAGTTCGATTCGTGAAAACACCATATCCACATTGTTAAATTCTTTTCATTTGAAAGGAAAAAAATAACAGAATTCCGTAACGGATACTATATTTTATTTTTTTATTCAACATATCCATGTCTGACGAGAGATTATCTGATATTCTGAAAGTTTATTCAAAACTGTGAGTCCTCTCTCAAAAGCGTGCTCGTTTTCTAATATTCCGTAATGGAGGATATTTCCTGAATAACTCGGATATTACAGAAGAGAACTTGATAAAATTTTTACTAATAATAGAGCTCAATGGTATACATTGATGATTCAAATTTGATATAGTTTACTTTTCTTATTGAGGATTTACAGATGTTACAATATTAAAAAAATACAATTCCGCAACGTTTTATCACGTTGTATACATATGACTACGACATCTGTCTTCAAATATTTATCACTGTCAAATACCACATTAAATAATCATTTAAATCTGATTGGTAGATTATTTATTTTGTTGTTTTTATGTTTGTTTCGTAATTTTGTTATTCATTTAATATTCACGTGTATCATTACGAAATTTTTACCTTACGTCACTTTATTTCTTTCTCTTCTAGATTTTAAGTTTTTTCTCATTACTATATAATAAATAGTTGATTCATTTTATATTTGACATATTATTATAAAATTTAATAATCAAAATATACAATGCCTAAAAACAAAGGAAAAGGTGGTAAGAATCGTCGTCGTGGTAAAAATGAAAACGATGATGTTAAACGTGAATTAATTCTTCGAGAAGAAGGACAATCTTATGCTCAAGTAACACGTATCTTGGGTAATGGTCATCTGGAAGCTTTCTGTTTCGATACTGCAGGTGGAAAGAAACGATTATGTCATATTCGTGGTAAATTACGAAAAAAACAATGGATTAATCAAGGAGATGTTATTCTTGTTGGATTACGAGATTATCAAGATGATAAAGCTGATGTTATCATGAAATATCATGGTAAAAGAAATCATTATATTTTAAATAGATTTGAAAAATATTAATTTAATTATTTTTTTTTGTTTTAATATAGCTGATGAAGCACGTGAATTGAAACGTATGCGTGAAATTCCAGATAATATTAATATTACTGAAACATCAAATAGTACAAATGAAGGATTAGAAGACGTCGTTTTCGATGAAAGATATAATGACGAAGAATCAAGTGATGATGAAAAAGGATTACCAAATAATATTGGAGATAAAAAAGGTGGTGGTAATGAAAGTTCATCAGAAGAAGAATCAGAAGATGATGAAGATAGTTTTTATAATCCAAATCGAATGCCAAAAAAGACTGGAAATTTAAATGCACGAAATTTAATCGGAACGAAGAAAGATAGTGGTAAAGGTGCACGCAATGATCGACGAGAAGCAATTTCAGGATCGGACTCAGACGTCAATGATGAGCTCGCACACATCTAATGTATGCATATATAAAAAGCAAGCGAATATTCCTTGTATTTTTCTTTTGTCATCTTTGATGTTTTTTTCAATCATATATAAACAATCATGTTAATAAAATCGTTATCAAACAGGTTGTTTTATTCAACAAATGATTTTTAAGCATCTATATATATATATATATTAATGTTACAAAGTGAATAAGAAAATGAACAAAATTATTATACGATAGATAATCGATTTTTTAAAGAAAATTAATTGAAATTAAATTAAATGAATTACACAATCTTATATCATTTATTGTAAAGACTGTTAGAGTAAATGTTCGAACTCATTCTGTACTTAATCAGATGATTTCTGAACTCATTCGTCATCATTTCTTCTTTCTTTTTACAAAAAACATAGGTTGTCTCGATAAAAGGTAATAGAAAGAGAATACATCTAAATAACTTCTAATATTAAAACGCAAACAATATCTTAAAAACAAGTACACATAACTATAATAGGTATTAACATGGGTGGGTGTGGATGTACATATCTATACTTCAACCACACCCATACCCACTCCCTCGCAATTGCACTTATTCAGTAATACACAAATCGAAAAGACGATTCCGATCCGACGAAAAAGGTTTTGAATATTGAGTATAGTAAGTCGCACAAATTCCATTCACATCTAACAGTAATAGATTTGGTAATTGCGATCAAAATAACAACAAAAAGAAAGATCATATTAGTTCTTTGATTTTACAAGATGCTAATCTTCGATCATGCAAAATTCACCATCGATTTTATATGCAAGGCAACATCTTGGAGATTTTAAACACAATTTATTCATTGATTTCATTTCATATGAATTATTTAGTAGTTGGATATGGGTGTAGATGTGTATGTCTCTCCTTTATTACAGCCAACTCTTAGCCACCGACACGCACACCCACACCCACACCCACACACTTTCACTTATTCAAAAGTTTAAATACATAAATTAGTTATTTTATCTGTCTTACAGAATATAAACTTGTCATACAGAAATAGTTTACATTGACAGTTCATTATTATAATATTAGTCTGCAATTTAATAAACAACATAGAAAAGTAGAGCTTGATTTTCTCTATTACTTGATAAAACAAAAAAATCTCTTCTAGTTCTCTGTGTGTGTAAATATAATCTAATGGCAAATACATATTTTCTGATAAATGTTAGATATTATCTAATAATAAGTTGATGGATTAATTGTTTGAGAAATCTTTAGTATTTAATGATGTAACAGAAAAATACTTCATTTACTTTTTTTAATGATATAATTAGATATTTATTAGATAAAATGATAAAGACTAGATTTCTTGTCTATAATAATTACAAACAACGACAAAATAAAACATGTCTGTAGTATTTGAATTAGTCTTTATTTTATAAAATTAAAAATACCAATCAGTTTATTTTTGATGTATATTCTAACTTCATTGTTATATAAGAATAAATTGATCAACGAGGCGAATATACTGACGGTACACCACATCTCCAAGAGTGAATAAACCAATGGTGACACATTGTATTGAAAATCAAAAGTTGTAAGAGCATAAATTGGAACCCATCCAATAAGATACATACTCCACGTAATGATTGTTCGTCGTAATAAACTTCTATCACGCTGAGTTAGGTTTCGAACTTGAATGCTAGGCACAGGTGTTTCAGTAGCATTATTGATTGGCTGAGTTCGACGAGATGACGAGTGGGCATGTTTGAATATCGCAAGATTTAGCAAAAGTGTAATCAATCCTGGTAATAATATAAGTGAAACTAAGAAATATATGAACGACCATTGCGGGAAATTACAATACTAAAAATAATCAAAATCTTTCAATGTTAAAAAATTCTTAATACTTAATATGAAGACATTTCCTGATTATATAATTGAAAAAACTCTTACCGGTCTAATGGATAAAGCAAATGGCACTAATAGTAAACATTCAATTATACGTTGTGATACCAAACATAATGCCAAAAAGGTTTTCGTATCAAAAAATCTTTTTGTATGATATATTATTGTGCAATATCGACCAAGACTGAATATGATCAATGAAAGTGATAATTCAGAAACCACAAAAAAATGTATGCTGAAGGTAAATTTGCAGGATGACTCGCTGTTAAAAAGGGAAAAATAAAAGTCTCTCACGGTAAAATACCCCACAAAAAAACCCATAATACAGAATAAACCAAAACAAATATTCAATATAAGTAGATTGAGAGAATTATGAAACCGACGTAAAAATATAATTGGAATAGAATATAACAATGCAATGAAAGTACCAATTCCGCATAACATAATTTTAACGATGGATAAGATCAGTCCAATATTGATCATTGTATAATATTTATGCAAATGGATAATGAATGATATAAACAATAAATATGTTAAGAATAATCTAATTCAAAAGAAAACAGATTAACATATTAGGTTTAGTAAGTTTTTCAATATTATCTGATATCAACAACATTATTGAAATATTGTACAGTCTAATTCGATTATACATAATATAGTAATAAAATAGTATTGAAGTTTAATTAAATAAGATGAAAATAAAACTGAGAATGTACTACATCTAGAACTTTAGTTTTCTTTGATTATTAATAAATCTATCGGTTGTAAAACTTTTTCTTACAGACACTTTTAAGATTATTTTCTACAAATAAGAATAAACATTCTTTTCATAAATATGAACCCTATCACTATTAAAATGCGACTATACCTGATCGAATTTGATGATAAAGTATTTTCGTCTTGATGTAGGCGAAACATTATTCTTAACATCATTAAAACTAACAGTGAGACAACTGCTAAATTCTCAGAAAAGTAAAGAAAATAAGCAACGAATCGATACGTTGTTCTTCCTCTAAATAACAACGTAGGTTATGTTTTAACATAAATAAATACCCATTTACTTCAATTCATAAATGTATCCTCACATTGTTCCTTTTCATATAGTTTATATAGTATAGAAAATGTAGAGAGAAACGACGTTTTATCTTTTCATCTGCTATATTTTTTTTTGGTAGCGCAATATTGTAGATTTTTATCTCATTAATAAAATCAAAATGTTTTATGAAAGAAAATGAAACAAGTCGAGAAGTAATTTAATTATTTATTTTCAATCTTGTCATTTCTATTTGTGCATGAAAAACCTTTGAAAAAACATTAGTTAAGTCGCTTTGAACTCTTCTAATATAAATTTCTGCACCAATCATTCTTTGCAACATATTATTCATTTGATATCTCTGTTGTAGATAAGTTCTTGAAATACCTCAATTAAAAAAATATATTTATTTAATGACTTGATTTCAACATAGAAAAAGGAATGAATACATCTATCCTGCTTAGTTTAAGAATAATTTTTCAATTTCATGGATTTAGCTATGCAAATATTACTTATATTATGATAAATTTATATAAAGTAGATGCAATTCATAATAGATAAACATATTCTTTGATATAGATAAGATATATTCTGTACTCATGTCTAGTCTGACGGTAGATGAATGATCTATGATAATCATTCAAAGATAGAACATATACCATACGACATAGTATTATTATGCAAACTCCTTCCTAAAGATAAAGCTAAGCAATTTAATTCAACTCATAGATCTATTAACTGAATTGAACTGAACTGGATAGAAAAAGGATTTTCTATACTTATAATTTCATTTCAATGCGATTGAAATTAGAAATGTCTATTAAATTTAGCAACTACACATTTTCGAAATAGAAACTCAAAAAAATCGATGGTTTGAATATGTTTTATAATATTTATTGAGATGACTTTTTGATAAATGTCTAACTCATTCGATTACGACTAAATGAGTTAATTTGAAAACAATGAATAGAATCCAGTTTAAAAATTTAGTTAGATATGGATAGAATCAAGGTAACGGATTCTAGGAAGATCTATGAATGAAATTGAGTTTAGTTGAAAGAAAAACTCATGAGGCGAGAATTTAGTGAAATACATTGCAATAATCAACCATTTGAAATAAATCGAGCTAAAGAATGGTCTAATGAGTTAATGGATTAAAGTAAACTTGCGTATATATAGTTATAGTATCAAACAGGGCTCTACATGGGATGGGATGGGATGAATCTTGCCATCTATGGGATATATGATTGCTTGTTTTTAAGAAAAATATCATTTTGCATAGAGGTCACATTTGACAAACGGTAGACATAAGTAATATATTCGTCGCTTTTCTGTATTGATCAGTAATTCTTACTCGAAACATTATCAAACGAATAAATAAAGGACTCATAAAATTAGAAAAACAGAAATAGCAATCTGAATGTTTTTAGATCAATATTATAAAGTATTTCATTGTCTTTCGTTATAATATTTATTCAGTATCATTTGTCGCTGGGTGTGAGTGTGGGTGGGTGTGATTGTGATTCTGGGTGTGAATGTGCGTGTGGGTGTTAGTGTCCATCACTTATCCGCCAACACCCACACCCACCTCACCCACCTCACCCACCCACACCCACACCCACCTCACCCACCTCACCCACCCACACCCACACCCACACCCACACCTACACCCGGACCTGTGGGATGAAAAGTCTGTGCCATCCCATGCGGAGCCCTGATGACGTATATTAACTACAGCAAATACAGCTTTAATTTGGGTACAAATTAAATGGTTAGTTTTTTATTCAAAATGACTAGTAAAAGCGATCAGTAGTTTTATTGTGAATTATCAGTAAAAAATTCAAACTGAGTGTGGGTATGGGTGTTGGCGGATAAGTGATGGACATTCACACCCTAGTTTTTGTTTTGTTTTATATTATTTATTTAGAGAATTCAATGATCAGATGATGAAATGAAAGATTTATATAATTATCATGATGATAGTATAATTATCATTGGTGAACATAAACAAAGATCATCAAAACCACTTGAATGTAAATTATATTTATGTAATTTAATACGTAAACAACTTGAACATGATCTTAATTCTCAAAGTGTAGCATCAGATGAAAAATTAATATTTTATGGTTCAGAAAAAGGTTATAATAAATCGAAAATATCAGTATTTGATCATGATTTACCATTACAACTAACATTTGAATCTGGTGTTGAAATACGAAGTTTAGCTGTTGATATGCAATCTTGTTATACATTAGGAAAAAGACAAGAACGTGAACTAGGAAGATATTTTGTTAAAAAAAGACAAAAATGTTAATAAAATATTTTTCTATGAATTAAAAAAATGGAATTTCTAAATAGGTCAACTTGTTCGTCGTATTGATTTATATGAATAAAATGTTGATAATATGAATCGATTAATAATTGATCCAATTAGTCATGGTGTGATTATAACAGATAGAGGAAATAAAAAGAGTTAGGCTGTTGGACTGGAAGGTGAAAAAAAACCAATACCATATCGACTATGGCGTAAGTTATTAAATAATTATTTTAACTCTAAATATATATATATATTTTTCTTCTTGTATAGCATGGAGTGTAGAATTTTTAATAACTGATATTTTAGTTATTTTACCTGCTGATTGTTTAACTTTTCATGTAGTTAATCTTACAAAACAAATGAATAATGGAACAAAATATTATTACTAATGCAGAAAAATTCTAAATTTTGTGAATAATTTTTAACAATCGATTTCATAACGTTTTTCTATTAACTTTTCGTTTTAACGAATGTATAGAAAAAAAATAAACTTGTTGATTTTTTAGCAAGTACTAACTAAAATGAAAACAAATCATTTTTGTTTTGAAAATTGTTAGTAATTCACATAGTATATTATAGAATTATTTTAATAAAATATATAATAGTAAAATGTGAAAAGAGAGATTTGTATATGTATTTAAAAATTAAATTTATGTAAAATTACTAATGAAAGTTCTAACTAAGCAAAATAAAGTTAAAAGATTTCATAATACGTATTAGTCATTTATGAAATCTTGAACAATTCTACAGAGATCAGAAATAGACATAAATCTATTTGAGTATGCAATAATCGTTTGATATTAATTCTAAATTACAAAAGTCTAGATACAAAATCAATTGGTTGTCTATAAAATTATGCTTGATGTACTATGAACATTATTTCATCAAATAGACAACCGAAATCAAATCGCTCAAAATAATTGTATTATCGAAAAAAAATGATGATAGAATTAGTTTGATAAACACTTAAAAATTAAATACCATTTATCTATTCACGTTAACAGACGTATTCTAGTTTACTAATTTCTTGTCACTTAAAGAGAACAATCACATAATTACTTTAAATAGTTTTAAATACAATCAATTCATTAAAATGCTACATGACTAAAAACTGCGTTGTAATATTGCACTTAAATTATATATCACCTCTTAACCTGTTGAAATCAGATATATAAATCTTTACCAACTAGACTAATTCATGGCACATAGATGATAATTCTATCGATAATACTTTATTTATTTATTATTCTGTATGCCTATTTGTTTTATATTGTAACTGAATATTATCTTGAGTTGATATTAAATAAGACAAGTATTGCTTGTTTTTTCTAAAGACAAAATAAAATGTATAATATTTGACTAAGTGCTTTTTATATTTTATGAATAAAATATATTATTTATTTCTGCCACTTTAAAGAAAAATATGTGGGAAATATAAAACTTAAATTTCATAACAATAGTCGATCATATTCGATGAAATACCGAATCGATAATATTCTCATAATTTCAAAACATTTCTTTTTTACAAAAAAATTTAATTATTTAGATATTTACATAAATCTATATTCCTTCTGGTCAATGAGTATTTCGTGGAGTTTTTTTAAACGTATAATAGAAGAGAATACTTAGGGTTTTATTTATTATCGTATTTGCTAGTTATTCTAGTAAATTTATTTTTGATTCTGATTTTTTAACACAGACTATTTAATCTTAATAATAAGTATCTGCTGATGAACGGAAATAAAACAAAATGAACAGTACGGAATGCACTTTACCTTTACTTTATAAGTAAAGATAAAGATTTACTTTATCTTTACTTTATAAAGAATAAAGATAATCTTTATTTTAAAAATCATAATAAATGAATAAAGTAAATCTTTATCTTTATATTTATAAAAATAAAGATAATGAAAAAGTTACTTTATTTGAAAACATAAAAGTTAAAATAAAGAATAAAGGATTTTTTAGAATATACTAAGAAATTATATTTTTAAAGTGACAATCTATTTAATTAGAGGAATAAATTGGTGAGTACTATGAGAATATTCCGTTAGTATTATAATGCTCTTTGCTTAATTTTGTCTCAAAAGAAAAAGAAACGTCGAAATTTTAACATCAACCAACTGTTCTTTGTTGTTGTTCTTACTTTACATCTTTCTAATGTCAATAGTAGAAAAACAGAAACATGAGAACAGTTGGAGTCAAGTACCGAAAAGAGAATAATTAAATTCAAGAAATTATTTACCTATTTGTAATTTTTCTTTACCAGAAAAAAATGTTTCATTATATTGTAGTTAACTGTCATTAATGATATCTTTTATTAAAAGTATATCTGCTTGTATACATTTTTTAGTACTTAATGGTATCTGAACACATAGCATATAATGATGAGATTTACTATTTTTGTAACATAGTGAAGATAGTATATTATCATGTATCGTGATTTATATTCATCAAAAATAGTGCTTTTTTGCATTCTAGGTTTTGCTCGTTAGAAATTTTAATTATTTTAGTACTGAAGGGCTTTTTTTTAAATTTATTTCTATTGTATTAACAAACGAATCCAATTAATATTTGGAGTGTAATCGTATTTTATTTTAGAATACATTATTCCTTTTCTTTTATACTTTTTATTATAAAAACATGTTTCAATTTTATCACAACTAAGATGATTGTATATGATTTATTGTAGAAAATGATAACCAACGGTAGTCTAACTGGCTTATTTTCTGAAGAAGAAGTTTCTGTACCTCGTCAACTTCGTTTTTGGTTGTTTCTCATATTACTTATTCCATCCATTTATTGTTCATGCGTTTTACTTTTTCAACTTTTCGTCAATAAAAAATTTCGATCTCAATTGAGTAATCATATTATTATCTGTCTACTCATCCTTGGATTACTTATAGAATTAATCGATATACCTTTGCATCTTAGTTTCTTACAACTAGGTTTTGTTTGGCCATCTACACCTACTTTATGTACTATCTGGTGGTTTGTAGATACAGGAATATATAATGGATGCGTTATAATTATGGCATGGGGTTCTATTCATCGTTATTTATTAATATTTCATGATCGATTATTTCTGATTGCAAAGAAGCGCTTTCTTTATCACACGATGCCTCTCTTCATTTTGATCTTATATATCTTTACATTTTATGTAGTTGTAATAATATTTCCACCATGTTCAAAGATATATGATTATAACTTACCTATTTGTGGTGAATATCCATGTTATTTAAGTATACCTTTACTTGGCATATGGGATACAGTTATAAATAGTATTGTACCAACTGCAATAATTACTGTTTTTAGTATAATTGTATTAGTTCGTGTTTATATTCAAAAACGACGTCTTAATCGAGCTAATCGATGGCGTAGACAACGTAAAATGACAATTCAATTATTTTCCATTTGTATTTTATATTTATCGGCGAATGTTCCACTTAATCTTGTTATTTTTGGTCATATTTGCGGTCTATCCCCTCAGTTTGGTGCAAATGTACAAGTTTACGCTAATTATCTGTGTTATTTCGTTACTCTTCTGTTTCCATTTGTCTGTCTTAGTACTCTTTCTGAAATGCGCAAGAAACTACGATGGAAGGGTTTACTTTTATTTCGACGTTCACGATACATTTCTACGATCCATCCTAAATGAATATTAAGACCGTGACATATTGTAGCATACGTATATATAGTTGTTTTGATTTTATTATATAAATAAATTATATATACAGAGTGACCCAAAAGTCCTTTAGTAAAGTTAATTCAACCATCTCTCATACGATTCAATCAATTTAATTGATTTTCTTAATAGTGTATTGGTATGTTCTTTAAAGTTTTATTTTAAATAATGTAGTTAACAACAAATGTTCAAAATGATTATCATCAACTGACATACATAAATACATCGTTATTAGCAGGAGAATCGATCTAACTGATCGATACTATAACAAAGCTAGAGGCAGCCATTTTATTTGATGTTATGTTTAATTTTACGATATAAGACAAGAAGAAGAAAAACTGTTTATAAACTTCTGCTTTTGTTACACTACTAAGATAGTAACATCTAATAGTTCATGTTTTCCCAGTTGCATCTATTCAGACTAGATTTTGTGCAGAATTAAAGTTGCTAAAAGATCAGATGTTTTCCTGTTATGAAATCTCTAACTAATCTCAAATAAATATATTAGGATGCAATAAATCTTGAAAGATTTGTGTATTTCGTATTTTTCAGGCATTGTCATTAAAATGACATTTCTAATGCAAGGATAAACTCTAAAGAAAAATCTTTATTTAGTAATCGATATAACTTGAAATTCTCTAACGATTGGTATATTTTGTTATTTTGTTTGAGCAAATCTCTTGGTTATGTAATGTGAAATACTAAAATATGCAGAAGTCTATGAAGATAATGAGAAGATATGCTCCTAGTACATCGTGTAGTAAGCCTCTGATACTACCTAGATCACCGTTTGAATTAAACGGATACTCGTTGATATCAGGAAAAGATTGAAAAAATAAATATTAAATATATGCGAAAAAATTGCATTTGCTTAAACTTTTGTCGTAGACTGTAGAAAATGGTAGTTATCGATATTCAAAAGTATATTCAACAATATCAATCCTATTACTGTGACTACTTTATCAATTGATTTTCCTACTAGAACGAAACATGCAAGTGTCAGTTTGCTCATTTTGTTATAATAATACATTCATTTTACATCCTATATTTCCAATCATTATATATTAATTTATCAACATTATCTATCTGTTCACATAACTGGTTCAACAATTCAATCAATTTAAAATTGAATTACTACTCGTTCAATATCTATATTTCAATAAAATTGTTTTTTGTTATTTGTTAAAATCCACTACTCGATAAAGTTCAACAATTATAAGAACAGTAACTAATACACTGATTTTTATCCTTTTATGTCAAGTCAGAGTAAGTTATTCATATTTTTTCTGCTCTTCTAAACTCGCATTTCAATTATACAGATAATTATCTTCATCATCACATTTAGTTTGCTTATATTGTTTTCATTTATGAATGTCACCAGCATACTTACAGCATATCAAAAGTAGTGTCGTTATTGTTTTATTTACATGTTAAAATAATAAAACTATTTTTCTATCCTATTACATCACTCCTAAACTCATACTTTAATAATCACATATCACTATGAACTATTTTTGTATATACCACCGTTTTATTCAGTAAGACAAATCCAATGACTTTCATATTATTGCATTTCAATTTACAATCACTTAATCTATTGTGTATTAAGAAATTAAAACATAAAACAAGATTGAATACGAAAAAGAGTATAATTTACAAAGTAAAGCTTTTCTTCACAAAAATAGAAAAAACATCTCAGCAGCTTATTGTTATTATTCTGAAAAAAAACAATTTTTTCTCCTTTCGTATACGAAATCCATTATTGTTTATAAATTATTGAATTGACATTTTAACATAACACTTTCACTCATTCAAAAGTTAAAATGCATAAATTAGTTATTTTATTTGTCTTACAGAATATAAACTTGTCATACAAAAATAGTTTACATCGACATTTCATTATTATAATATTAGTCTGGAATTTAATAAACAATATAGAAAATAGAGTTTGATCTTTTCTATTACTTGATAAAACAAAAGAAACTTTCTTCTATTTCTTTGTATGTGTAAATATAATATGATGACGAATACATTTTTTTTGATAAATGTTAGATATTATCTAATAATAAGTTGATGGATTAATTGTTTGAGAAATCTTTAGTATTTAACGATGTAATAGAAAAATACGTCATTTAATTTTTTTATGATATAATTAGATATATTTATTAGGTAAAACCATAAAGACTAGATTTTTTTATTTAAAATAATTACAAACAACGACAAAATATAAAATGTCTGTAGTATTTGAATTAGTCTTTATTTTATAAAGTTGAAAATACCAATTAGTTCATTTTTGATGTATATTCTAACTTCATTGTTATAGAAGAATAAATTGATCAACGCGCCAAATGCGCTCAAGTTGGACCATATTTGCACGAGTGAATAAACCAATGGTGACACATTGTAGTGATAGTCGAAGGCTACAAGAGTATAAGTTGGCATCCATCCAATAAAAAATATACCACACATAATGATTGTTTGTCGCAATAAACTTCTATCACGTCGACTTAGGTTTCGAACTTGAATACTAGCCACAGGTATTTGAGCCGTATTATTGATTGGCTGAACTCGACGAGATGATGAGTAGGCGTGTTTGAATATCGCAAGATTTAACAAAAGTGTAATCAATGCTGGTAGCAACATGATTGAAACTAAAAAATAGATAAACGACCATTTCTGGAAAGCACAATACTAAAAATAAACAAAATCTTTCAATGTTGAAAAATTCTTAATACTTAATATGAAAACATTTCTTGTATATATAATTGAAAAAACTCTTACCGCTCTCATAGATAATGCAAATGGTACTAACAGTAAACATTCAATTATACGTTGAGATATCAAACATAATGCTAAAAAGATTTTCGTATCAAAAAATCTTTTTGTATGATATATTATTGTGCAGTATCGATTAAGACTCAATGTGATCAATGCATATGTTAATTCGGAAAACACAAAAAATTGTATGTAGAAGAGAAAATTGCAGAATGGCTTCGCCCATAAAAGAGAATAATAAAAGTGAAACACAATAAAATACCACACAAAATAACCCGCAGCACAGAAAAAACCAAAACAAAGATTCAATATAAGAAGATTTTGAGAATCATGAAACCGATGTAGAAATATAATTGGGATTGAATATAACAATATAATGAAAGCAGTAATTCCGCATAAAATAATTTTGACGATGGAAAAGATCAATCCAGCATCGACCATTGTATAATATTTGTGTAAATGGATAATGAATGATATAAACAATAAATATGTGAAGAATAATCTAATTCAAAAGAAAACAGATTAACATATTAGGTTTAGTAAGTTTTTCAATATTATTTGACAACAACATGATTAAAATATTCTACAATCTAGTTCGATTATACATAATATCGTAATAAAATAGTCTTGAAGTTCAAATTAAACAAGATACAAATAAAATTGAGCATGAACTACATCTAGAACTTTAGTTTTCTTTGATTATTAATAAATCTATCGGTTGTAAAACTTTTTCTTACAGACACTTTTAAGATTAATTTCTACAAATAAGAAAAAAGATTCTTTTCAAGAATACGAACTCTATCACTATTAAAATGTGACTAAACCGCATCGAATCTGATGATAAAGTATTTTCGTCGTGATGTAGGCGAACATTATTCTTAAAATCATTAAAACTAACAGCGAGACAACTACTAAATTCTCAGAAAATTAAAGAAAATAAATGGTGAATCGATACTTTGGTCTTCCTCTAAATAACAATCTAGGTTATGTTTTAACATAAATAAATACGCATTTATTTAAATTGATAAATGTATTTTCACATCGTTCCTTTTCATATAGTTTATATAGCATAGAAAATGTAGAGAGAAATGATGTTTTATCTTTTCATATATCATACTTTCTTTTTGGTAGCCAGATATTGTAGATTTTTATCTCATTTGTAAAATTAAAATAGTTTATGAAAGAAAATGAAACAGCTAGAGAAGTAATTTAATTATTTATTTTCTATTTTTTGATTTCTATTTGTGCATGAAAAATCTTTGAAAAAGCATTAATTAAGTTGCTTTGAACTCTTCTAATAGAAATTTTTGCGCCAATTATTGTTTGCAACATATTATTCATTTGGTGTCTCTTTTGTAGATAAGTTCTTGGAATATCTCTAAGAGAAAGATATATTTATCTGACGACTCGACATAGACATACAGAAAAAGGGATGATTATATCTATCCCTCTTAGTCTAAAAATATTTTTTCAATTCAATGGAACTAGTTATGCAAATATTACTTATATTATAATAAATTTATATAAAATCACTTAAGAGATTTTACACGAAGTAGAAGCAATTTACAATAGATAAACACATTCTTTGAAATAGTTCAGATGTCTTTTGTATTCATATCTAGTGTGATCTCAGGTGAATGATCTCTGATAGTCATTCAAAGATAGAACATATACCATACGACATAGTATTATTATGCAAACTCCTTCCTAAAGACAAAGCTAAGGAATTTAATTCAACTCATAGATCTATTAACTGATTTGAATTGAACTGAACTGGATAGAAAAGGATTTTCTATACTTATAATTTCATTGCAATTCGATTAAAATTAGAAATGTCTATTAAATTTGGCAACTATACATTTTTGAAATAGAAACTCAAAAAAATCGATGGTTTGAATATGTTTTATAATATTTATTGAGATGACTTTTTGATAAATGTCTAACTCATTCGATTACGACTAAATGTGTTAATTTGAAAACAATGAATCGAATCCAGTTTAAAAATTTAGTTAGATATGGATAGAATCAAGGTAATGGATTCTAGGAAGATCTATGAATGAAATTGAGTTTAGTTGAAAGAAAAACTCATGATGCGAGAATTCAGTGAAATACATTGCAATAATCAACCATTTGAAATAAATCGAGTTAAAGAATGGTCTAATGAGTTAATGGATTGAAGTAAACTTGCGTATATATAGTTATAGTATCATAGTAAGAGATATCATAAATATGATTGATTTTTAACTTTTTTATTGATCTTATTCTTGAATTATTCAAAAAAAAAATACCGATATATACGATATTGTTTTATGAGCAGTAAATATATATATATAGTGTATTTTATTGATATTTATATAACTAAAAATTGACGTTAGATCATCATACTTTAGTACAACGGTGAAATCTATAATTTCATGATGAAAAAATCAAACAAATCAATATTCATTATTTATTAGATACATTTATCAGTAAATGATATGATATAAATGAAAAAAACAAACATTAAATACTATTATTTCAATATTACAAGTATCAAAACAATCAGATATTCTTCAAGATCACTACTAAAAGTTTGTATTTCGTCGTATTTTATAATCAAATCATGAGGTAACAAATTTAAAACTGTTACCATTATTAAAACGGACGTGACAAAATGACTGAAATTATCAACTGATAATGATTTTTAAAATTTTTCACAAATGAAAGTTTTTATTGAGCACAAGTATAAGTGAGAGATATTTGAAATTTTGCTGTAGGAGATAATTAACGAGCCAGATATCAGAAATTTACATTTTCTGGTATTCCAATTAGCGAAAGCATCAATATGTAAAAATATCTACTAGGGTTTCTTTTGTTGATCAGAAATCAGAAATCTACTATTGTTGTTTTTGATATCTTTACGAGTACGTAGTGAAATCAAGAAAACTGTTATTTAAACTCTTTCTATGACCGTTCATATAGAACAATAAGGGATCCCCATTCGAAAATAAATTTTGATTTGTTTTTGCATGTAGATATAGATGTTAATGCTCTTTATCTACTGATACTATTTGCAGACCTGAAAATTGATGTTGTGTGGGCGAAAAATGGTATAAAAATCGAGTTTCTTTTGATTTTTTCCATAACTTAGGGTTTTGACAAAAACCATGAGGTTTTCTTCTTTTCTCTCGAACGTCTCGACATCAAGGGATGAATTTTTTTATGATAACTAAGTTTAATTTTGGTTGAGTGTTTCTTTTTTTGAACAATATCGCTTCTATGAAATTTAACAGCTTTTAGAAAAACAGCATAATGGAGGTGATCGAGACTCTGTATTGTTTTGCTTTTTCAGGGCTTTAAAAATGATATTTTTCGAAAATTATGAAGCAAACAATCGAAATTAAGCCTATTTATCGCAAAAAAACTTCATGATTTCCCTTAAATACCTGATGTTTAGAAAAAAGCAAGGAAAAATCGATTTTCAAACGTTTTCAGCTTAAAATACTGATGTTTTTTCGAATTTTTCACTTACAAAAAAATAGATTTTTAGGTTTGTAAATGCTTTCAGTAGATAGAAGACATTAGTATATATATTTTAGCGAAAAAAAGATCAAAAACATTTTTTGCGAAAGGAAAGGGTATCTCATTAATCAAAAACCATAACCTACAACAATCAAGAAACATAGGAAAAAATCAGAGAAACTAAAATAGTAAAAACTACGTAGATGTGTAGTAAAAAACTTTTATTTAGCTTGAGCAAATGAATTAATAACAAATAAGGTTGCATTTCTTTAGATGAAAAAGGAACGTAAAGAATATAAAGGGTGTTTCAAAAGGCCTCGAGAAAAGTTTTTTATTTGTATATCTTCACTAGTGCACCTGTTTTATGAATAAATTTTATTTTAAATGATAGATGAATCTGACAAATTATTGTTTTTATACCAGTGAGTTTCAGAAATATTGTTCAAAGGTATCATCGTTTATCGAAACACAAAATTTAATCTTGCTTCTACAGGTTGTTCCGAAGTCATGTTAAGAAAAAAAAACTTGAACATTTTCATCATTTTCATTTTTCTTAACAAAATTTTTCTTAAAAGGGTTAAAAGGACATTTTATTTCATTCTTATATGTAAATCATCTTTATTTTTGAAGTACTTCAACTTATTTGAATTGTTTTACACAATAGCTTGGTCTATCTATTTATTATTAATTTTTCTCATCGTGAAATAATACAAAAGAAGTTATTTATATTTTAAGATGGCGTTATTAATCTATGTTCTCATTCATATTTTTAATTTGAAATTGTATAGAATTGTTAAAATAAACTGTCTACATTCTCATTTTGATGATATTGACTGAATCTTTTAACTAACTGTATAAAATAAATTCCTTTTTTCAAAACGTATCAACTGGAGTATATCCAAGTTCTTTTAGTAATAATAAAATATATGAAACGGATTCTTATCTTAAATTTTTTTTTCTATAATATGCAGTTAAACAAATGACGTAGTTTCCATCTCATTATGAAACAAGGTACTTATTTCATTGGAAAAACAATTACGTTTTTCAATTATATATAATTCATGCTTTCTGAAGAATTTTCATACATTAAAGTATAATAACATGTGCAGATGGGATGTGAGAATTGTTTATTAGAAAAATAAGTGCTTATTTTGATAGGAACATTTGTTATTTTGTAAAGAGACACATAATTGTCTTAAAATATTGTAGAATTAGTTAGAATTTTATCGCATAAAAGTTTGAAACGACATTAGATTCTAAATTATTAGTAATTCTACGATTATATATTCCTTTTTTTGTTAGAGCAGCAGAATTATATATCATATTCAGTTTTGTCAGTTATCTTATTTCTACAAGTTAGTCATTCTTCTTATTATGGCAAACACAAGCTTTGATCTCGTTCAAAAATTAAATGTTGCTACATTCTGGATTAATCAAATTTATCCACTTCTTCAAATTATTTTCGGAACATTTGGAAATGTGTTCAATATTATTATATTTACTCGTCGTTCATTGCGTACTAATCCATGTTCATTATATTTTATATTTGGTTCAATTAACAATTGTTTTGCAGTTGATATAGCTTTACTTGCACGTTATCTTGCAAGTACTTGGAATTGGGATCCATCAGCTACGAATAATGTCTTATGTAAACTACGAAACTTTTTCACTTACGTTTCTCTTACTCTATCTTTATGGTTTACTGTTCTCGCCAGTATCGATCGATATCTTTCAAGTTCAAAAAATGCTCGACTTCGCCAAATGAGTAATTTAGCAACAGCTCGAAAGAATATTATAATTACTACAATACTCATTTGTTTATTCTATTCACATATACTTATTTACTTTAAAACGGGCCCAAGCGGCACTGAGATCAGTTGTATTTTATCTCCATATGAATATGTTATATTTTTAAGTTTCTTTGGACCTATTATTTCTTGTATTTTACCGATTTTATTAATGAGTACTTTTGGTATTTTAATGATTCTCAATGTTCGTAATACTCACAATAGAGTTGGCATACATCTTAATAGTACACGATATTCACGTTTACGTTCACATGATCGTCAATTGACTATAATGGTTTTATTTCAAGTACTCATTACTACTTTAATCTCAGTACCCTATTTTGTTCTTGCTATATATAATGCAATTGCCATAGTTATATTTCGAAACAAACTGTCAGTATCTCAATTGGTTATTTACAATTTTGGATATAATCTATTTCGATTACTTTATTATACCAATCCTGTTATTGCTTTCTATATTTATACTATATCTGGTACCAAATTTCGTGTTGAAATGAAACTTTGTATTCAAAATGGATTTAAATCTATTTTAAAAGCAATTAGTCAAATCTAATATCTATTCAACAAGTATTACTCGGTGAGAATCAATTCATGAGTATTAGTAATATATGTTTATCATAAAAGAAAATATTATCCATCCTATTCAATAGAAAACAACAAATAAATATGATATCCGTTGTAGTTATTCATATATGTACTTAGATTTTTAAATATTTATTTATTAATAACCGTTGTTGTTGTTGTTGTAACCTTATCATTATCAAATAGATCTTTTATATGTCGATTAGTTTTGTTTTGTAATAAATTCATCGTTGTAAATTGAATGAAACAGGTTAAATTTCATAAATATTTTTTTTGAAAGCAAAATCTATTGAGATTTCATCACTTTGTTGTCCTATTATTCTTTCAATTCTGTACAAATACATGAAAATATTTATTTATAAGAGTTCGTAACTAGAAGTTAAGCATTATTATAAAAGGCACAGAAAACTATTTTACAAAATAGATTATATTCAATTGAAATTACATTCCAATGAATTCATATATATTTAATAATTTGATCAACTTCTCAGGAAAAAATGGTTCTATAGCTGAAAAATTGGAGATAATGAAAATAGCTATAGGTGCTTGTGGAGGAATCACTACATCACAGCTGGTACAACTGATGCAATTTCTTCCCTCCGATGATGATAAACTTGAACTGGCAAAAACGGCGTATGGTTATGTACGTGATCCAGATTCTTATTATACGAATGTTGGTGAAGCATTTTCGTATGATGATACTCAAGCGCAATTACATGCATATATTCATCGTTATTGATGAACTCATTTACTTACTTCTTAATATTTAAGTAAAACAATTCAAATGTTGTCTATTTAACTTTGAAAAATAAATATTTGAATAAAAAAAGATTCGATATAATTAAGAAAACGCTTCAAACAGTGACAAAATTCTAACGATTATCTATTTATATATCTTTAAGATTTTCCCTGATGTGTTTGCACTCATCCTCATTCCGTGTTGTTAAGCAGTTCAGTTGAATCGAGTGTCTGATTAATACACCATGGTCTATGATTAAATAACTACTACAACCTTTGTTTTATTTTCATAAAATACGAAACAACAAATAAAAAGACGTATATACTTAGAAGCGTAAATTTAAATTAAGATCAGATAATTTCATATCTTTTAATTTTTGTGGTAAATTCATTTCCTTTAAAGCAGTCATTGCTTTTGTTGGTGCTGCTGATATTCCAGCTTCTTGTTTTTCTAATTTCGATTGTTCATCAAATCTTGAAACAATTTCATTCAGATTTGTTTCTAAAACCATACCACCAAGACATATTTCTTGTAAAATATAATGAACTTTATCAATATGAAATATTAAATCAAGTTCACAAACATTCTAAAATAAACAAAGAATTTTTTTTTATTAATAGAATTTGTCTTTTAATAATCACAAAATTTACCTCAAAACATTTGTCTAATGTTTCAACAAAAACTTGAATTAAATCAAGTATACCTAATTCACTTTCTGAACTATCAACACAAAATATAAAATATAATGTTGCATAATGACGATATATTAAACGATAATCATTTCCACCAATTATAGATCCACCTTCAAGAAAATTACAAACATTTTCACTACGTTTCGATACTAATTGATATGTTTCTCGAACAATTTGTTGTTGAATTTCTTCAGGATAATGTTCAAAAAATTTTATTAATCTTGGTTTAGCTGAATTATTAAAAACAAGTATTGCTTTAATCATGATAACATAAACATATTAAATCTATTTATATCTTAAAAATAAAATCATCTAAAAACGTAATAAACAAAAATTGTTTTTCATATTATTTCGATATACGTCATGGACATCAAGGCTATTTAAACGAGGCAATTAATGGGTATGAATGCATTGAAGTAGAACATAAACGAATATTTTTGTATTCATTTGTAAAAAAAATGGGTAATCAAAACACTGCAGGACGTACATTAACCGATTATGATATTAGACTTTTTAGTCAACAAAGTCAATTACCACCGCATATTGTTCAACAACTCTATGAAGCATTTATGGAACGAGCTGGTAAAGATGGACGGTAAACGAAAATTTCTTTTTTGTTTCTATAAAAATAAAACTTTGTTTTTTATGATATAGTATGACAGTTAGTGAATTTAAACAAGCATATACGGAAATAAAACCGAATGCAAGTGTATTAAATGTAAATAATGAAGCAGAACGTATGTTTTTTTTAAATTTTCTATTCTAATATTATTTTAATAATAATTTATATAGAAGTTTTTGTAATGTTCGATAGAGATCATAATGGTAAGAAAATAAAATCATAATAAACTAAATGTTTACTTCTCTTTTTTTCATAGGGGTTTTAACATTTGATGAATTTATGATGGCATATGTTTTGTTACAGAAAGGTATTGATACTCCAGTAAATCGTTGGCAATCTGCAATAAATATAATGCCTCCTGGTGTTATCTCAAGACCTGGTTACGTAAATGCTCCTGAAGCACTTCAACTTCTTCAGTCTATGAATCAGGTTTATCAAATTCCTAATTTTGATCCAAATATGCAACAGAATTTAGTTTGGAGTCAATTAACACCACAGTTAGATCCTACTGGTTATGTTCCACAAGCAGAATTTCTTCGTGTTTTATCGGTTCAACCTAATATTACACCATATATTTAGTGAAAACTTTACTTGATTTTTTATTTTTGCTGTGTTTTTCTGAGCTTTTTTTCTTTGATAAATATTAATCATTCAAGCAAATTTATCATTTAATCATTATTAAAATTGATCCAATTAATTTCTAGTTTTACTTTATTAATTTTGTATTGAATATTCATGAATCGAAATAAGTTGATTGTCTAAATCAGATATTCATTCTGTACAGGTTTCAATTTGACATTCTCTTAAATATATTACATAATTTTATTCATATTAGCAAAGAATTTTGACTTACTTGGATAAATCGATATTTTATTACTTTTCATCGTTTTTGTAACAAAGCCATTGTGTACTGTAAAATGAATTAGTTTAGTCATATTTATTAATCTGAAATAATAAGTAAAAAATATATTTAAAAAAATATGTATCTATAGTTATTAAGCACAATAAAAGTATCATTTATTGCCTAGTTTTCTTGTCGTAACTATCAAGTTCCTTTTTTAGTAGATGGTATAAATAAGCACATGCATGGGCACAGAACATCGTTTCAGATTGATTTCTTCCAGTATACGTGAGTAAGTTGGGAGAATGGCATTTGAATTGTAATTTATTAAATGGTACTGTCGCCTCGATTGGATGAACAAATGATTGATAACGTCCTGAATATTTATTGATCGATCGATATGCAGGTATATACGGTAATAAAATAGTGTTTCGGAAAACATTTTCAAGAAGAGAAAAAACTTCCATACGATTTACTAGTTCTGAACGAGTTCTAATCTCCAGGTCATATAAACTAAACAAAGCTCTAATTGATTCAAAGTTATCCTGTTCAACAAGTTTTTTTCTCCAAGCATCATAATCACGTGTTTCATACAAAGATGTTAAATACTGTTGTATGTTACGAGCATTTTGGTCATCATCAAACATCTTTATATAGCCTTTCAGTACGAACGGATTTTTTGACTACAAAATGTAAAAGTAAAGAAGTTTTTTTCTTATGTGATATCAACTGAATTTCATTACTTCTTCATCAAGATTCGTCGTTGAGGATCGAACAGATTCAGAAATTGTAGCACCGGAACTTGTCATTATCTACTAAAAATGTATAAATGATATAAAAAATATTAAGGGAATATATTAAACGGTCAGTAAAATAACTGAAGTGGTCAGTAAATACACTGATTGATCAGTATTGAAGATCGCAGTAGATATTTATGAAGTGGTCAGTTTATTTGCTATAAGCAACAGTAAAAAGATATGATTAATATCAATAGAAAAAAGAAATTTGGTCAGTAGAAAAATTATTAGTCTTGTCGTTAATAAGTAGCAGAAGATGATAGTTTGAAAGCTTAATAATATTTTGTTTTTTTAAGAAGAAAACGCAAGTATTTATAGGACAAGAAATGGTTATTTCGTTTATTCTCATCTCTTATAGTATAACATATTCTAGAAAAAATACTTGAGTGATATGCTTTAATTCATAACTTGGAAATAACACACTTTAATATATGTCAAAAGATCAGAAGAAAAACGCATCAATAAAACGAAAGGAAAAATCCCATATGATCATATATATGAAGGAAAATACCATATAGATATACATGTAAAGGAAAGAAGAAAAAAAATGAAGTGGACAACACTACGAAAAATGTTAATTTTTCTACTTTTCACTTCATTTTACCAACTAATAAAAAAAGCTTATCTACTGACCGTTTCACTTAATTACCATCCAATGTTGTTAATAACTGATCATTTCATTTTTCTACTGACCATTCAGTATATTTACTGACTTTTCCTTTTTTCTATTTACTTACTATGTCAGTTATTTTACTGACCACTTAAATGACACACAAATATTAATAAACGACGTAGTCATTGATAAATTTTTATTTATTTCTGATTTATTTGTCATAGATTTGTTTTCTTTCATTGGAACTTTGTATTTTAACCAATTGTATAAAAAAATAAGATGTCACTCTCAACTAGTTTATTTTTTATTTGACTACATTCAATATTTCTATAAGTTGAATATTTATAATCTAATCTATAATAGACAGTGCATTGTAAAAATAATTATATAAATGAAATCAAGAATTGTAAGAACTGTATGGAATTGAAATGAAATTTTATTAGAAGAATACGTGTATGATAATATATTCTTTAAAAAAACAGGCTTATATGTAATCAAAATGAATAGACTATTGACAACTTCCTTAATTATTTCCGTGATTTTATTAATATCATTATATACATCGAGAAATATACAAGATGTTGATTTATTATTGAATTAATTAAATATACTTAAGTCTAGTCTATTTATTAGTACGATTTCTTAATATTATTCGATTGATTACATAGTATGAATTACGATCTTTAATCGTAGTCAAAATGTTATTTGGATTGTATATTAATCGAGAGAACAGGAAATCAAACATAGATAGAAAGAATAAAAAGACATGATAGGAAAGTAAATGAGGTCACTGACTTCATTAACTATTATGTAATGTCATGATTCATTCAAATTAGTATGAGTAGCCAGTACGAAATATACATTTGAACTATAGAAGAAATAGTAGTATACATTTCAGAGTTGAATATTCATATTATAGGTTCAAATAACAGTATTAGTATTCATATAAAGAATCATCTTTTTAAATTATATAATTATCGTTCTGATAAAGCAAACAAAAGATAAGAAATAATCAGAATGTGATAGAAATCTTCTCTTTAATAGAATTGTATCGATAAACAAATTAGAGTAGTCTAATCTACTTTCATGATTTATTATTTATAGCACATGAGAAATGTTTTTCTCTAGGGACAAACACTTAAATATTCATGGAGAAATTCCATCACTTTCCCCCCATTCTACAACCAGGTATATAATAATCATAATATTTATTACTCTGTGTCAGTGCTAAATTTTTATCTTCACTGAATATTCTATTTATACAATAAATTATTATAAAAATTAGTATCATTTATTAAGACATACAAGAACAAAGTTGCTAATGCAATTATATTTGTAACAAATGTTAGGAAAATTGAAGAGAATGAAGACATGTTGATTGATTAGAAGATTTCTATTGTGCTATTCAATTGCACTATTAAGAAAAGAAAAGTAGACTACTTGAAAGTAAGAGAAGAAGAAAATGAAACAATATTTGCATATCATCAATAAATATAAAACAATCGATTCATCATTTTTTTAGTCAGTTATAAAATATAATAGAATTATATGAAAATATTGACTGTATTTTCTCATGAAACAAACAATCCAATAAGATGAGATCTAACGATAATAAATCTGTTATATTAATTAATTTCTAATCTCTTTAACAAAATACTATTCTTAACAATGACATTTCTATCTTATCAAGAAGAAAGTTTCTATACCTATTTCATTGATGAGAATATGCATATTCATAAAATAATATATTACTTTAAAAAAAAAGTTATAATTATTTCTTTCAAAGAAAATCTTTTACAAAATAAAATACATAAAAACTCTCGTAAATGACAATAAATATTATTAATGACTAGACAAAATTTAAAACAATATTTTAATAAATAGATTTTCTAACAAGATTCAATACAGATTGCAATACCCATTCCACCACCTATACATAAAGCAGCACAACCTCGTGTCAAACCTGTACGTTTAAGTGTATGAACTAATGTTACAAGTATTCGGGCACCTGAAGCACCCAATGGATGACCAAGAGCTATTGCACCACCATTTACATTAACCTAAAATAAATACAAATATTGGATTATAAAGAACTTTTTTTCTTCTTTCAAATAAAACAGAACTTTTTCTGGATCAATACGAAGTTCTCGAATGACTGCTACAGATTGAGCCGCAAATGCTTCATTTAATTCAAATAAATCAACTGAATCAATTGACCAATGTGCTTTACGTAAAGCTTCTTGAATAGTTTTGATTGGTGCTAAACCCTAATTATAAGAAAATTACTTTATATTTTCACATGAATAAAATAATTCTTACCATAACAAGTGGATCAATGCCTGATTGAGCCCATGAAATAATTTTTGCTAATGGTGGTTGTTGTTTTAATTTCGCAGTGCGGTGTGAACAAAGAACTAAAGCAGCAGCTCCATCATTAAGACCTAATTGTCGGTAAGATAATAAAAAAAGAGAAATTTAAATGATTATGATAATAATAAAATAATAATAAAAATAAGTTGAAAAAAACCTGAAGCATTGCCTGCTGTGACTGTTCCAGCTAATGAAATCAAAAAATAGAATGAATATTTAATTATTTTTTAATATGAAACATATACCTTCTTTGAATACAGTATTTAATTTTGATAAACTATCTATTGATGTTCCTTTTCGTGGATATTCATCATGTCTAATTTCGATGTTATCTAGAAGAAGAATATTAAATATTTCAATAAAAAACAACACGCGAATCATTTACGTTTTCCATCTGAAATAATAATAGGTTCTATTTCTGTATCAAAATGTCCGAGTAAAACTGCTTCTTCACATTTAATTTGTGATTGTAGAGCAAAATTATCTTGTTCTTGTCGTGTTATACCACATGCTTCAGCGATATTTTCCGCTACAATATCAATAATAACATATAAAATTTGTTTCTAAATACAACTTTTTATCTACCTGTAATACCCATATGAATATGATTAAATGCATCTGTGAGACTAAAATAAGATTCGTTATTGAAAACTTTAGAATATAATTGACAATTTTACCCATCATGTATCATTGAATCAACTAATGAAACATCACCCATTTTCTTGCCATGTCTTATTGGAACACAATGTGGTGCTTGACTCATACTTTCCTGTCCACCAGCGATTAAGATACTTGCATCACCTGATCGAATAGCTTGAGCAGCAAGAATAACAGCTTTCAAACCGGAACCACAAACCATATTAACTGTCGTTGCCGGTATATGATACGGTAAACCACCACTACGAGCTGCTTGTCGTGCAGGATTTTGACCTTCATTAGCCGTTAATACTTGACCCATAATGACTTCATTGATTTCATCTGGTGAAATGACACCAGCTAGTTTAGCTAATGCACCTTTAATTGCAGCCGCTCCAAGTTGATGAGCTTGTAATGCTGATAAACATCCTTGTAATGAACCAATAGGTGTTCGTATAGCTGATAAGATAACAACTTCAGTGTGATCTTCATTCTTATTTGAAGTCATTATTTGAAAATAAAATAAAATAGATCTAGAACAAACTACAATAAATATTTCATATGTGTAGAAAAAAAAAGAAAGTTATTCTACTCAACTTAGTTAGACATTTTCTTACGCTTGAAAGCATTCTTTCTATTTAATACAATGTTTTATCGGGCTAAAATAGCTTTCGCTTATTTATTTTTTTCATCGTTTTTCTTCTAATATAATTATTACAGAATTATCAGAACAATTCGTCTGAACGTGATGTTACTCTTATGATCGACAACGCATCATTAACAATCATAAAACCATGAAATTACATATGGCACGCAGACATAAATAATATTTTTGTAGAAATCAATGGAAAATATTGATATGATTTATTTTCAATATATATTTTATGTATTTATATCTTATCACATTCTTGTTTAACTATTAAACTTACGAAATCATTTAAATCGCAAAAACAAAATCTATATATATAAATTATCACTTTACTAGCATACAAAGTATCTGTTTATTGAATCAACGAATAATAAATTGTTCCGAAAAAAAAGAAGATGATAAAAGAATAGTAAGAATAATAATAATAATAATCCATATAACTTAAAAGAAAAATAATAACACAGTATAGAACTAATATATAAATATAAAATAAGAAGAAAAGAACGAGAAGAAAAAAGAAAGCAGAAAAACGAGTGTTGTATAGCACATTCATTTATTTACGAACGAACAATGTGTCATCATCTTTCTCTTCCTCTTCATCATGATCGTTGAAGAGAGGTTCTTCCATTGTAGTAGCATTACTGAGTAATTTGTATCTTCTTGTTTGACGTCTTTTACGTAGCCTAAAATAATAATCAAAATTTAATTTGTCAAAATCTCGTAAAATTGTCAAAATTAATTTCAATCAATATTTAATGTTTTTTTTTATTAAGTAGAAACAAACACGATCTACAAAAGTAATTATGCCCCATAGCTGTTCATTATGAAAAGATTTGTATTATAAAATATATTACTTAATTTATCATAAACATGTTAATCTATAAGATTTTAACTTACATAAAAGTTCTTATTCCAATATACATTAAAATAATACAAGTAAAAGCAACAAGTGCAGCAGTACTCCATATCAATGTACCGCGATCCATTTTATTAATTCTTTCATTGATTAATTCTTGTCCTTGAATAAATAATGGTTTTTTACTTGTTACAATTGTTGTAAGATTTTGATGGACTGTCATATTAACAGTTGAAGTAGAAATATTCATTGTATTATTTAATATCATTGTTGTATTTTCCATAATAAACTAAATGATAGAATAAAATTTTCAAAAAAAAAAACAACGATGGATAACAAATACAAATTACTGGTAAAGAATACGTTTTCAAAATAAATATGAATCAATTTGAAATAGAATAGAATAGAATAATGATTATATTTGTCGATTTAAGTTAAGTTATAAATAGAAGGAAAAGAAAGAAAGACAGAATGAATATAAAATCAATTGTATAAATATGATTCATCTAACTAGATCATAATAGCCAATTAATTGATTTACATTAATGGAAGTTTTATATAAGGCAAAAGGATAAAACTTTGATCGTGTTAAAACGAAAGAGGACACTACTCTTCGATAGGAAAGGTTAGAACGGATCAATGATATAATTCAAGTCTTATGACATATGTAATCTATCTATTTTTACGCTTCTCTTATAATCAAAAATATCAATCTACTCGTTAGTATAAGATGTCTGCAAACTAATAATAACAGATAGATGCAAAATAATCGCTTTTAGTATGAAATTACTTAGATTTTGTTTATCTATATTATTATTTGTAATTCTCTTATTATAAATAAACAATTTCATGTACTATGACCTGTTGTTTCATACGTCTATCTTCTTTTCACGATGAAACATGCATAATATCTAGCTGCATTTTATGATAAATAAATAAGATTTTATCCAAAAAAATACACTATAGTTTCTGTATGATTTAGAATTATTTAATATTCATGGTTGTCTATAGATACACTTTTCTTATCAAATACTGAATTTTCTTTTATTTCAAAATAATTAGCTGTTTCTATTACAATTCAACTATGAGTGTTATTTCCGATTCTATGTCTATTGTATCAACAAAAACATCTTCAAGTGATCTCTATAGTATGTCTTATCTATTAAATCATATACGAGCTCAACGAATTTCAAACAATAAAAGTCTATCACCATCTCGTATTATTCAACAACAATCAAAATCTCATCGTTCTATAAATAGTCCTAGAAATTTAATAAATATGCAACAAAAACAAACAATTATAAGCACACCAATTCATAAACGTAATCAGATATCATCGAAATCGAATAAAGATACATTTATTATGGATGATTATTCAAATAAAAATGTTCATAGAAGTTTATATAAAAAATTCTACAAGTAGATATAATCTATATATATTTGAAATTAAACTATATTTTAATATAGACGAAAAAAACAACAATTTGACAATACTTCTTATTGTATAGCTTATTCTACAATCATAATTATCGGTAAACTAATTGTTATAAATTAATTATTTTATTTTTTCGTTTCTAATAAAGAGTATCTCGTTTATTTCATATAGAAAACTCATAGGTGTAGTCATTGGTGGATGGTTAGGTGGTTTGTTCGAATTTCTTACTGGTGGTCACAATGGATGTAATAATGAATATCGTGGTCATGTTCAATGTCAAAAAAAATATGCAAATTTAACAATAATGGCTCGTTGTATTAATATATTCTATACAAATTTAACTTTAGAAAATTCTCCATTTATATGTTTATGTCGTTTTCGTAATAATTCTCAAGGAAAATATCGTGATTGTGAATTTTTTCATGTAAAGATACAATATATTTAAAAAAACAACATTTATCTCTTATTTTTTTTTGTTTGGTTTGTTATCATAATCAATGAAAAGCTATACACACAAGCAATAGATTAACAGATACAAGAAAATCAGCCGGTTATTAGAAAAAAAAACTAAAATCACAAATTGTTTTCGTATAAAAAAATAGAAAAAGTATTTATTCCAAACCAGCTGGTGCATCGCCTAAACAAAAAAAGAGATTATATTCAAAAAAAAATCAAACAAATAAAATTATACCAGCTGCATTAGTTGCACCACGTCGAAAATTCTTTTTAACTTCCGGTCGTGCTAATTGAAGACGTCGTAAAAATTCATTTGTCTTATGACGCATATGAGCATGTAAATGTGCCTAATAAAAATAAATAGATTTCTTTAAATTTATATATATATATTGCAACTTACTTTACAACATTTAATATGATAATGAAAATAATTTCGAAGCGTATGAATGAGATTGATTGTATTATCACGTGCTGCAGCTTTTGTATGACGTGGAAAGAGAACTAAGAAAATAAAAAAATTTCTTTATTGATTTTTGAAATTAATTTTTTTCTGTTACCAAATGTTAAATAACCAATATTATCTCCTGTACGTGCATCAGGCATATCTTTTAATTCTTCGGGTGGTGTTCGATAACTAACAATTACTTGTGGTGCTTGTTGAAATTGTCGTCGTCGTTCTTTAAATTCCTTAAAAAGAAGATTTTAGTTTTTTTAAAATTCAACTAAATGAATGTTCTACTAACTTCCATAAATACTCGACCAATTATATTATCATCTGCATCTTTAAAAACAGTTGAAAAAATAACAATAACACGATCCGATGATGCATCAACATACATTGTTTCATCATCACGATAATGTATAACAGCTCGTTTATGATTTCCTGTTGTTGGTTCTTGTTTACTTTGAAATTCAAAATATTTTTCAAATACAGCAGCAAAACAGTTTCGTTTAAGCATAGCAATTTTACGAACTAATGGCAACCAAGCTTCATTCGTATCACCCTTTGGTAATTGATTATTAAAATCTAATGATAATGTAACATTGTAACCTTCTAAGGGTGTAACAAGTAAATCACCATATTCACGACGAAGAACCTAATAAAAAAATAAAAGATAATTATTATCGAAAAAATAAATTCTTTTAACTAACTTCATCTGTACCATATTGTTCTATATCACGATAAAATTTTAATTTAATACTAACATTAAATGGTTTATCACGAGAACTTGTTATATGATAAAGTGCACCATCAAAATCTAAAATTATTTAATGTGTTTTTTTTCTCTCTCTCCTTCTTTCATTATCTTGTAACACAACAACATACCAACAACATCAGTTTTTATTTCAACTAATTTTTCTTTTCGTAGAAATGTTTCAATTTGTGTTGTTAATAATTCTTCAATTATACGATTATGAACTTCAAGTAAAATCATTGTTTTATCAAAACTATTTGACTAAGGAAAGAATGGAATAATAATATAGATCTAAAAAAGAATCACTATCACTATATCAACTTGATATGAAAGATAGTTAAATATACACTACCATTTAGACCACAACAATGTGAATATGATTCATGCCGATTTAGATAAACATAGAGGGCATTATTTGACAGTACAATTATTTTTTTTGTAACGTATCAAATAAACTTAATTCGATAGGTATCGAACTCGTAGCATTGGTATGGTATTAAAAAAAATGTATTTGATCTAACAAATACTTTGTATCTCTCTCTAAAAAAAAGATGCTGTTTATTCGCGAATGTATATTAACAATAACAAAAAAAAATATATAAATCATTTAATGGCTAGCAAGTACATTAGCAAAATGATACAACTCTTCTTTTGGTTCATAAGCACCTAATTCTGTTCCACATTCACTACATAATAAAGGTCGTAATATTTCATCTTGATTTTCATGTTCTGTTTCTTCATTATCTATAGAATTCTGATCATCTGTTTTAAATCGTTTATTTTTATTATTTTTTTTCTTTTGTTTCGCTGATTTTTGACTGTTGCTTGTAAATACAGAAGCCACACGATTTTGATCAACTGTACAATTAAATACAAACATTGCTCGATATTGATTTCGATTTGTATCATGTCTATTTAAAGTAAAAATGATTTCGAAAAAAATATAAATGGTTTTTTTTATTACCTTTGACAATCATGACAAACTAATATCATACAACCTGGGCAATTAAGCACAGCATCAGTTGGTCCTAAAGCTGATGAATCTAATTTTTCTGTAGTATGTGCTCCTCGAGATCTAAATAAAAAATAAAATAAATGAAAATCTAGAGAATAGAACAGATAAATACTTGAGACGTTCTTTTGTCATCCATTTTTCATCTTCTTCTTCTTCATCAGGATCATAAAGAAGATCATCATTAGCTTTATCTTGATCTTCTTTACTTAATTCTGGTTGATCTAAAAACAATTTTTTTTATAAAAAAATAAAATTAAACTCTATACAACAAATTTCATACCTGGTTCATCATCGCTATCATCTTCATCTTGTTCCTTTAAAGCTACTTTTTTTTCTTGTGGTTTTTGTGCTAAAAAGAAAATAAAACAAAATGCAAGAAAAATAAATAATGAAATTATAAATTTACTAGATATTGGTAATTCAAATGTTCCACGTGAAATAAAGTTATGATAAATTTGATCTAATTCATCTTCCATTTCATTTGCAAATGTATTTGATGTCGTTGATATTGATTTTTTATTTTTATTTGATTGTTCTGACATAGTCTTTTCGATATAGTCACGAATTGGACGATCGAATTCATTATCAGAACTAAAAAAAGATTATATTGATCGTTGCTTTCAGGAAAAAAGATGATAATCTATTGAAATTCATTTACCTATCTGAACTAGCATGACCATTAGTTATTGCAGTATTACAAGGAAGATCGTCTTCATCGTCACTAGGTTCATTATCAACTTCATAACCTGTATAATATTTAAAACGTTGATCAGTCATTTTATTTGGAATAAATTTAGTTGATAGAAAAATAGTAGACAAATGATTAAATATTCTTTTTTAAGGATTATTTTCTTGAGAAATTCGATTTTATTCTATGAATGATTCAAGATTTCTATTGAATAATTAAAATAACCAATAATGTTTTTTTTTACTTAATATGACATCTGTAGACGAAACTGAATTATGTGATATTTTTTGATAATCTCCTTATTGTAAAATATGTATGTATGGACAAAACTAGATTACATTCATTGTCAACTATTTGACTTAATCTTTCAATAATTGCAAATTATCAGTATCAATAAAACAGAATAAAAAAAAAACATTATCAAAGATATAAAACCATTATTATTTATATAATGAAAAATAAGTATATATACATAGATAGATTTAAAAATTTCCGAAACTACAAAATATATATATGTAGAAAGGATATTCTACTAATATTTCTATACTAAAATATTCGAAATAGTTGTTGAGATATTCTTTCGAAGTCAATAATATGTGTTGAATGAACTTATACAAACTTAGTTTAATGTGAATACGAGTTGGCTAAAAATATGACTACATAGTGTTGTTCGACAACTCTTTCGTTGAGAAATTCAAATGTTTATTAGTAGTGTCGGTAGGATTAGTATCCGCTATCACGATAGCTCATTTTAGTATGGTAACTATTAATGATATTACTTGAGATCTATTCAGCGCTTAGATAGGTTTTTAGATTTTTTAGTGTTTGAAAAGTAACAAAATTCAGATAATAATTCAACACATATTGTTTACTTCGAAAGAATATCTCAAGAACTATTTCGAATATTTAGTATAGAAAGATTATATATAAAGTGTAGTTTCGCAAACTTTTCTATCGTCTTATGTATTAAATTATTTCCTTTTTTAAATGCATTAAATGTTATTATTATAGTTATTATTGATCTGTAGGAATAAAATTAAATGGTCGTTCTGTATATTTCCATTTCGATCCATCATATTCCGCAATACAAGTTGCTAATGGTGAATATGTTGATACAGTACGATAAAATGTATCAACATTTGGTCTTAATCCTTTGATTGCATCCGTCAAAGCTAATAAACCGGGCGCATGTGTAACAATAAGTACTGTACCACCATGATGACCATATCTGTTGATAATTCCTCGCATAACAGCAACACTTCTATCAAAATAATCATCTAATGTTTCAGGTACATGGACTCTGGGAATTAATGCTTTATATTCATGTTTAATATTGTATCTATTTTCCATAAATTCTTTTTTTGTCATAAAACTATCGGTTATTTTATGATTAAGATGTGGACATTCAAAGAGGCCAGGTTCAATACGAATTGGAATACGATCACGACGATCCATGCCTATATAGAATATTATTTAATATTAATATATAAATAATTCATATTCTAAAAATACCTGTTAGAATTCGTTCACATGTTTGTACACAACGAAGAGCAGTTGATGAAAGACATACATCAGCTACAAGTCCACTATTCATCATAGCACGACCTGTAAGACGAGCTATTTTTAAACCACGTACTGAAATATATATGATATATAATTGTTTAATTTTAAAAAAATAAATAAAATGAATATTTTAACCTGTTAATGGTGCATCATATTCATAAGCTTGATCAGAACGTCTTTTAGGTAAATAATCTGGTAAATTAATATCATAAGGTTTATATGTATTTGTACGAAAAGCTTTATTAAACCAATCAGGACCAAGTGCTTGATTGGCTCGTTCACTATGACGCATAAAAATAATTCGTAATGATTTTAATGTAGGTGAAGCAGCTAGAGGACCATTACGTTGTACTAATGCAGCTGAATGGTTAACACGTGTTGCATGATTACTAGTTCCAGTACCTGATTGATGAGCACGACGACTAAGACGAATATGTCGACGACGTGCATCATTATCATAATTGGAATCTTCATCTCTATCATCTTCATTATAAATAGGTAAAGGAGATGAAGTA